CTGCTGTCCTGGTCACCATCAGGTTTCCCCATTAGCAACAGCGACAACTCCAGTCAGTAACTAATCTACCCAAACAAGAGCCACAGTAAAGCAGATCTGATGGAATGATTTCAAATACTAAAGAAAACATACCAGCACATAAAATGTTCTATGAATATTATTCTTGTTACAATCACTCCAAATCAGACACAAATTAGCTCTTATCCTAACTCAGTATGTGCAAAATTAAGTCAGGGGGAAGGGAGGGGGGGAAGAGATATTTTATTTCCATCACTAAAATACCAAAATAGGTTCTATGATGGAACCAGGCAATGGTGCTCAGATCCTAAAAATGACTTACTGTTCCCTGAGAACCACATAAAATAACTAACAGCCTAAAGTTTATTATCCAGGAAAAAATGTAACCATTATAGTACAAATTATAAATCAATACTACATGGCTTATTATCATATTACACTTGGTGTGCAACACAGAAACACAATTTTTTTTAGCACAGAAGATGGCCATTCAGATCCTTATATCAGTGTCAGATTCTGTTTGGGGGTGGGGGAGGAAAAGAGGAATGAAGGAATCACATATTTGTCAGTGTCCCAACTCCAAGAATGCACGTCTTTCCAGTGCCTTAAGACACTGCCGACTGTGGTGTTATGCTGTACAGTTTTGCATATTTGCGGAAAGTAAATTGTGTTGCCTTGTCATTAGGCTAAAATGTAAAAATAATGAATTAGTCCTCTGTACTTGACAGTGCTACTGACACCTTATTTATTTCCTCCAGCAATTCTAGATGACTAGTGTGCAATCCGCATTTGTCCAACCCACACACATATCAACGTGCAACTAATTTATTGAAGATCATTAGTTATTCTTGACTGCGTCCAATTCCGAATGATTCTAGCATCTAACAGTGTTGGGTCACAAGTAACTATTTCTTTGCAAAACAAGTCGAGATGATCAGCATTCGAAGTTGCAGAATGATCAAGGCTGAAAATTACGAGGTGCGATGTGTAAATCATCATCATTGACATTCAGCACATTACACATCACAATTTTCATCACAATCTTGTTTTCTGCGTATCATGTATTCAGATTACATTACTTTAATTGACAAATGCTGGCCTGCAGGCTTCATGCTATGTTGACTAAAATTATGATTTTAGATGGTATTCACATAATAATTATGATTGTCCTTTTTTTGCTCAATTTTGGTACCTAACCATTAAAAACTAGCTGTCAAATTATAATTTTTGCAAATGATATAGCGGCTGTAACTTTCAAATATCTGGAAGCAATTTGAAGTGAATTGTTGTAAGTTTGTGTATTTGCAGTGAAATATGATAGACAATTTACGCACAAATGTTAAAAACTGAAGCAACTGACCAGGACTTCTGGAGTCCTGTAGCTCAGTGGTTAGAGCACTCACCTCGCAAACAAGAGGCCCTGGGTTTAATTCCCAGCAGGGCGAAATATTGGGCAAGTTTCCTTACTCCACACACCTCTGTTTACCTAGCACTAAGTGGGAACCCGGTTGTTAGTCAATTGGCAAATCGCTTTTCTAGGGATAATAATCCCTCAAAAAAATATAATAATTTGGTCACTCAATCCACGACAGTTTGTGGGACACTGTTGTGCGCAATTGGCTGCCTTGTTTCGCCCACAAACATACAGTCAATTCACTTTATAGTATATTCTGTGAAGTGCTTTGAGATGTCTAGAAGATGTGATAAGGTGCTATATCAAATGCAAGGATTATTACTATTATTATGACCAATTTAACTGGAGGGGTACTGGCCAGGATACCAGGAGCAACCTCTTTACAAATAATAACATGAGATCTTTAACGTCCACTGAACAAAAAGCAGATTTAAGTTATAACTTATCTGAAGAATGGCACCTCTGATAATGCGTTGCACCCCCAGTAATACTCTGAAGTGCCAGTCTGGTCTAGTAGCTGATTTTGTTTTTGGTAAATTAGGTGTTTGATACATAGGTCTGCAATGTCCTGGCCAACACTACTATATATACACTTGAATGTCACACCTGAACTGACATGCTGGAAGCAGTCACTTGTGGTAAAACGGAAAAAACAAATCTCTCGTTTTATCACTGATTCATGAATAAATACACAGATTGTAAGATCAGTGGATTCTGATAAACACTACATCCAATGGAGCACACACATGCCTTTTTGTTGCTTTACACACGACATATTACACCAAACAATTTGTAGTATTTGTATTACAGTTCATCGTATTCAGCAATGTAAACAGAATAATTCCCTGCTGTAGCTAAAGTTTATTGGAAGTCAAATATGCAATGATATTTGACACACGCCATGCTTTATAAATGAGAGAATATTCCTACAACAACAGGGTCAACTCAGACCAATTACAACACTAAAAACTACAGTCAAACCCATTTTCAGAAACCACTCAGGTGACTCAACCAAAGTGGCCTTTATGTACATGTGGCCTCTGAGTAAGAGTTTGTTGGTGTCTGTAGAATTTCTAAGTGTCTAGAAAAATACAGTGCACAATCAAACCCATACCAGTAATTACACTTAAATTCACTTAGAGGGTGAATTCACTTAGCGGCTGAAGAGGGTGTTTGTACAGTGACAGCTAAGAAAAAGACTGGCCACTGGTAGACAGGTGGCTGCTGAATAGAGATGACATATTATGGAAAATCAATTGGGATTATTCCAGGGTGGTTGTTGGGAGCAAGTGGTTGCTGAATAGAGGTGGTTGTTTCAACAGGTTTGACTGTATATTTTACAAATTAGTCTTTTACACTGAAGTAAAGAATGTAAATGTAGAAATCAAAATTCATAACCTCAGGCACTAACATAATCCTACACATCTGGTGGGTTTATCATGGGTCTCCTTGCCTATACACTCCATTTGTTTGTTACCTATTGTCCTACCTTAATATAAAACTAAAAGCTCAAATCTTAGATCTTCTCAAATATTCAAAAGGATGTGTTCTTTTGTAGCTATAGATGTTTGAAGGCGACTTCCTTCTGCACCATTACCAAACTTTCACTCACCCACATACAGAAATCATTTAAAATTACTTTCATAACATACTAAGCTGTAATTCATTAGTAACCGTGTCAGGATAATGTCATTTTCGACTGGCCATGACTTTATATTTGATTGTGGCATCACTGACAAAAATAGGTTCTTGAAATCCAGTGTTGATATTTACTGTCAATAGAGATGTTGATCTGGAACAATTTGTGTGGAACAGTACATAGTCATCAATTAACATTTTACTCTTATAATGCTGCCCCACATTTTCTGTGTGTGAGGAAGGCTTTTTTTAATATATGAATTTCTGTTCTTTAATGCGGTGATATTCTATTCCTCAATTAGTGATTTTGGTAAAATCATTAGTATTTTGATTCTATCACCAGCAATCTGTCAATTACTACTCAGAATTTGTTTTTTAAAAAAGTGCGTTTAAACACTTAGGCTTCCAAATGTGAGGTTTCGCAACAGATTTGCGACTTATTGAATACGTAATCAAACCTTTTAATAAAAAAACATAAGCTGAAGGTTCGATTCCCCCAAATCCTGGCACAACGGTTGGGTCTGAAACTGGTTGCAAGATATCCTTTTCCAACCACCGGTCCCTGTCCCTGACAGCCAGCGTTTCAGTGCCATCTCACAGGTTACTATATAATGTCAAAGTCGGGCGGGGGGGGGGGGGGGGGGGCAGATGTTATGAAATATTGCATTTTAACCTCTTAGTTTTCATTGGAATTGCACTCCTCTTCCCTTTCAAAGACCATTATGGGCTAACATTCCTCTCCAGCTCCAACATGACAATCTATCATGGTTACTTCTTCAGAATAAGAAATCCCATTCTTAAGATTTTTTGTCATAAAATAATCAGTATAGCCCTCACCACTCCCATCAGGTTTGGACAGTTAGAGATACGACAGGCTCTCTATCCACCAGTCTCTAGACAATGTGCAGGGAGCTCCACCAGCTCAGGTGAAAAGATACTGAAACAAGTGCGATGGAAATATAGTGAGAAATGATGAAAACATCTATAATTAAACATACAACTCATTTAACAGGCAACCATCTAACAATTAAACCATAGATCCTTCGTTAGATTTCTTAGAAATATAATTAATTTGAACGTGGAAAAGCTGAGGATAAATGGCATTTGATTCATTATGTCCATTTGCCTTTTGTAAATCTTCTTCAGTGGGTACTCTGACTGTGCTCAGCTTCACACTGATGACAAAGATAAATGAGATCAAGGTTCTTATGACATTCTGCTAATGATGTAAAGGCTTTGAAACACCACGATTTCACCAGGGAATGCACATACATCCCAATTCAATTTATAGTCTAGTGCATTCTCCACTAAATAATGCATCTTATGATTAAACCACAATCAAAGGAAGACTTGCTACTGATGAAGAAATGTAGCAGCATCTCTGTCAGAGTACCTGAAGGCAATCTTAATAGACCAGGAACCTCAGACAATTGTAACATCCAAAAGTGTAAAGTCGTGTTGAAATAGCTTTATTTCTTTTGTCACATTGTGGGGATGCAGAGCAGGGATCAAATTTAAAGATTTGCAATTGAAGTTGCACAGAATTTACAAACATTGCATTTTGCACACTATTGGGCCAACAAGTGACCAATGTAAGCAGGATACTGACTACTCTGAGTTTTATTGTTTAGAAAAAGCCAGTATCACGAATCAGAGGTCAAATGCTGCATTCTCTGAGGTACATCACAGACCCGATTGGCTGTCAGAGATTACCACCGAGAAGGCATTTTATTAGGGACTATCTAGTGTGGTAAAAAAATTTTTTTTTGCTAAATTCACTCCATTATCAGTATATGCCAATCTATGAATTAGTTGCTCATCTCATTCTTCTTTATGGGTTGCTGTGTGAATGCAGGTTATTTAACTCAGCTAATCTCACTTGAAAAGTACAATATGAATGGAAGAGGAAAAGAGGTCCTTCACGACTTACCTATGATGGCCGGTGTATCGAGCACCTTTGATGTGACCCATTCCTTTACATCCAGGTGTTGGACACCCTCCTGGAATCGGAGCAGTCATGAGGTCTTGCGAAGCTAAAAAAAAAGAGCCAAACAAAATAGGAAAATACTGTTAAATTTTATTGAGAATTACTGTGCCCTGGAATCTCAGGTGACATCAGAAAAGAAGTGAAGTTGGGAGTAGTTTTTGACAGCCACCTGAACTTCTGGATTAGACACATCCTTGAAATTGCTCTCCACTATCATACAATGCAATTTACATTTATACAGTAAAATCAATAGACATTCAGCTGCAGGAATTTACACTCATCCAGGCCTTGATGTCCGCCAAACAACTGGCAGGACATCAGCGTAGCTGGAGGAGAATTAGATTTGGGTGTCATCCACATACATGTGGAAGTTGACCCCATGTCTGCGGATAACATTGCCGAGATGGAGCATGTAGTTAAGAAAAAGAAGGGGGTCAAGGATGGAGCCTTAGCCCACTTCTGCTCCAAGTGACCAGGCAGGGACAGGAGGAAAAAACATTTGCCGAGATGTATTCTTGGCAGTTTGTTAAGTAGGACTCAAACCATGCGAGTGCAGTCCCACTTAGGTGGATGAGGGTGTAGAGGCGGTGGAGGAGGATGGTGTGATTGACTATGTCGAACACGGTGAAGAGGTCCAGGAGAGGGAGCTCTGGTCAGAGAGAGAGGATGTCATTACTTTGACGAGTGCTGTCTCTGTACTGGGGGCTGGGCACAAAACGGATTGGAGGGGATCGAGTAGGGCGTTACAAAACTTTGGCCAGGAAAGGCAGGTTTGAGATGGCTCTGAAGTTTATGAGGTTGGCGGGATCGAGGGTAATTTTTTTAAGGATAGGAGTGATGACAGCAGTTTTGAGGGGGAGTAGGACAGAGCCTGATGAAAGGGACTGGTTGATTGTGTCAGCCAATGGGCAGAGCAGGGGGAATTGAGTGACCAGAAGCTGGGTGGGGAGAGGGTCGAGGCAGCAGTTGGTGGGCTTCATATGGGTGATGGTGGGGGATAAGGGAGGAGGGAGAGATGGGTGCAAAGGAGTGTAGGGTAGGAGCCGTAGTAAGAGGAGAGGGTGATGAAGGAGGCATAGGGGTGGGTAGTAGGCGACATCAGGGGCGGGGGGAGGGGGCAGAGTTGGGTGGAGGAGGAATCCAGGTGAATGTTATCCATATATGTACTTTGAACTCAGTCTTGGCTGACATTCCAATACAGCACTGGGGGTGTGCTGCATTGTCAGAGATGCTGTCCTTTGGATGAGACATTAAACAGTCTGTTGAGGTGGACATCAAAAATCCCATGGCACTATTCAAAAAAAGAAGGAAGTTTCTCCCAGTGTCCTGCCCAACAATCCCCAAATAAAATTGGTCATTGACTTCACAACTGTTTGTGGGACAATGCTGTGCACAGTTAGGCTGCTGTGTTTGCCTACACAATACACAGTCACTACACTTTACAGAGAACCCTGTGAAGTGATTTGAGATGCCCTCCGAAATGAAAGATGCTACACCAAATGCAAGGAGGATTATTATTATTATAGCAATGACTATGGAAATTATGCTAAACTTCTAATGGAGACTGTTATCAGCATCATTCTCGCACACTGAAACAGATGAGGGATTGTTATATTTATTCGCTAGAAACAAAAGGCATATTTTGAAAGCAAAGAATGCCACCTTCAGATTTATGAGCACACAAAGATTTCTAGCACTGCGTAAAGGAGATAAAAAAGCTACATACGACATTTTCAGAAACAACTCCAGACTATTAATAGGATATCAAATGGTTCTCATATTTGTGGGCGTTTTAGTGCTTTTCTTTGTGCAGAGTTGGCAGGATTAGAAGTGCACAAGGTCATAATGCGTTTAATATCACCATTAACAGGTCTGCTCAATCTTGTGCAAGGATGAAAAAAAGCATAACGTGGTAACAATTTTGTATTTATTCAAAGATCATGGTGAATTAAGCCTTCTTTGTGGTTACTCATTTACCCTAGAATATTAAACCCTACAGGTTTACAGAAAACCTGTTGCTCGATACTGTAATAATGGAAAATACGTACAAATTTTGAATGGTTCAAAGGACGTTCAGAAATCAAAGGAAATTGCTAAATCGGTTTTCAGCACATGCACAAAACATCTCCATATCTACAAACACATTTGAGGCAATGCTCATTCCTGGTGGAAGATTATAAGAAGGGGGACTTTAGAAATGAAAATGTTGAAATTTTAATATATTCATCATCGTACCGTGAATCCTTTGAGGATTATGGAGATTTCTAAACTAACTCTAGGATTGGAAGTTACTCTGTGTCCCCAACCATTCCACAGATATCCAGCCTTCCCCATCAGCACCAAATTTGCATTGTCACTATTTGCCAGCCACATTCTCAATGAACACCTTTACCAGCCGACAATTAAAAGGGGCGATTCTCTAAGGTTATCACGTGTACATTTACAAAAATAATGGATAAAATGAACGTTATAATTTCTTGTAAAAGCCACAATATAGCTTGTATTGTGTTGTCTCAGCAGGCAGTACCGCATCAAGGTTGAACGCCATTATAAACCACAATAACAAAATCATCATATTAACCCAAGTCTTGTTGAAGCCTTGAAACCCACCACAGGATGCATTATTCTTCTTCAACACGTACAAAAATGCAACGATTACTTGTAATAGATTACAGGAGATTTTTGCCAGCAGGTATGATACGTTGACAGTTCGAACTGTGAAATCTGACAAGGAGGGATATTGAACCTTTTGATTTGACAAAAAGTTGTATTGAGGGAAACTTGTGAATAGACAAGTAGTGATGACAGAAATGCTCTTATAGGTTGATAAAGATGAATATCACAGCTTGTAAGCTTAGACAATTATTCTTAATATAAAATGAACTGTATTGGAATGAGCTCTTGACATGAAAGGCGCTTTACAAATGTAATTTTGTTGTTGTTGTATTCTGAAGAAACGAAAAAGGCCAAATACTGCAATCTGAAATAAAAACAGAAGTCACTGGGAACACTCAGCAGCTCAGGCAGCATCGATGGAGAGAGGAAAGTGAGTTTAACGTTTCAGGTCAATGACCTTTCAGGTTCTGATGAAGGATCATCAATCTGAAACGTTGACTCATTTTCCTTTCTCCATAGATGCTGCCTGACCTGCTGAATGTTACCAGCGACTTCTGTTTTCATTTATATTCTGAAAAAAATGTCCTTACTGAGTGGAGGCTGTAGCAAGTGGCCTGTTTTGGTACACCATCCCGCAGGGTGGAGATCAGGGTGCTCTGCATCAAGCCAATAGTCATAATCGTGACTCCACCCATCAAAATGGATCTGAAATGAACAAGAACAAATATTACTATTGAATATTTCAAAATCAGTAGTGTGGCACACATGTTACCGTTTTTTAAAAATTATTTTAAATACGCAGGAGTTTGAAACGCACCAATTTCTAATAGAACACTGAGCTGCAAATGGGGAGTTGTTCTCGTAACTGGGATACATGGGAATTCTGCTCGGATGCAATTTAGTTCCAGAGTTTACAGGACATACTCCAGAGTATGTTTGACATACGCCCAGAATGGAATTCCCATTTGCGATTTGGAATCTTCATTGAGGAATCCCATCAAATTACTGCACCTTGTTCCGTCTCTCTATCTGCTTCCAAAAATCTCCCAATGGCTCTTTAATCATATCCTCAAGCACCTCTGAATTCTTCCTGCTTTTTGCTAGCTATTCATGGTTAACGGTTTGGATGCATTGTTTATGTAAGATGTTTTACTCTCAGTCAAGAAACCACACTTGTGTGGATTAAATTATTAAATCACCTCAATGTCAGATGGTGTGTATTAACCATGATGACTCAGTACTCCTCCTGACTTGGCGCACTGCTGCTTTTGTTCAAAATTGTGTGCGCTGTATGGTAAACAATATACGTGATCGGTGATACTCCCAGCTTTTGAGAAAGTTGAAGAATCTAGTGCTCCCAGCAGTTATTTTTATACCCTTGTCCTGGCTAGGTCCAGACCACTTTTACATCAGCACAACTACTGCTTCTGAGAAAAGTCAACCTTATATGTGAATTAATTGGAATCGTATTTTACGTTTTGGCCTTTTTCTAGTTAACCTTCTAACTGGATTTCTAATACATCAGTGACTGCAAATGACAGCTAATTACTTTTACAAATTATCTGGGTTGGAACAAGTGAAATAAGTTCATGCATAGTTTTTCTATGATAGATGGCATGTTTTTGCAAATGCTTGTGGCTATCATTAAACATGTTAATTGATGTGTAAAGTTTTTACTTGCAACTGCGCGTCAATGCAAACCTGAAGTATCTAAAATTACTTTTTTCTCTTAAGACTTCATGAACAATTTCATTCAAATAATGCACAGCTTTGTGATTAAAATGCACACTGCACACAAGCCTGCAAAACAATTGCGTAACCTATTCCATTCTAACTGGGTCATCTGAAGACTACACAAAAGATGTTCCCTACACTTGCTCTGCAAGGTTCTTCCAACTAATCGACCTTGATTACTGATTTGCAATTGAACGACTGAACTTTACAGATGTTAACAAAACAATTTACGAGAACTTAATGCATGCTATTACTGTTGATTTTTCCTCAGTGTTCAGATTTCATGATCGTAATAGAAAAAATTGTTAATGAACTCAGACTGTCTGCAAAAAAAATCATGCTAATATTAACACGTTTTCTTTTTGCTCTCTGTAAGAACCTCCTAATTGGAGCAGCTGCAATCTGGGTCAGTCTTGTGATAAACGGACACAGTCTATGGCAGCCAATTAAAGTCAAGAATTGATTAGAAAAATGCGCATAGTCTACGCAACCTCGATAATTAAGAAAGTGGTCTTCTACTTTGGGCAGAGACAACCAGAAGCTTGTTTGATAATAATAAAAAATGATAATCCTTGCATTTGATATAGCGCCTTATCACGTCTTCAAGATTTCTCAAAGTGCTTCACATGATATACTGTAAAGTGTAGTGACTGTATTTTCTGGGTGAAACGCGGCAGCCAATTGTGCACAGCAGCGTCCCACAAACAGTTGTGGATTGAGTTACCAAATTATTATTATTAAATAAGCTTGTTTACTTATTTAATACACTCCTTGGGTTAGGCACGGTCACCAGATGCACCAATCATCTGCAAATAAAAATGTTATTGAAAATGACTTGAAATCTCTGCATTTTTTAAACCCAATCTCACCGAGACCAGGTGATGGGGCTTCCAGGAAGAAAAAAAAATTTCATCAGCAGGAACTCCACTGGCTGGACAAGCAGTTGGGTGTTTGTCAGACAGTGTTTGCAAAGGCAAGGAGCACTGTTTTAGGAAGCTAGACTTCAGCAGTACCGCAATGCATATTCTGGGGCCCCAAGTTTTGGTCCAGCCAACATATGCTTAATATTTTCCGAGATTAATTAAGCAGGGTGCATCTCTGTGGGAAAAGAGCGCACATTCTATTCTGGACACAGGGAAATTTCCATGCATGGATGGAATTTGAAATTAAGTATGAATATTTTTAAGCAAGGAGATAGGTTTCTGCACATGTGGCTGAGAAAAAAATGCATCAAGTGGAATTTGAATACTCCAATGTAAAACTATAACAGAAGTAACTCCATTTTTAATTAATTGCTCTAATTATTTTAAAAAGTTATTACAATTATGAAAAGGAATTACAGATAATTTCAACCACTCTAGTAAATATTTTACAGAAGATAAAAAAGTCAGTACAATAATAAAGATTCTTATTAAAGATCTGAAGAGCCTGTGAAATATCAAGATGGCAATCTAGGATTCACTGAAGCAAAGACTGGTAGGGGAACGAATGGTTTAGACCGACCATTAGTTCTAATGTTAGCCTTTGTGAATTCAGTGACAGGCACATTCACAGTACATCTACTGTTCTATAGAAAGAGCCAAGTATCACAGGAAATGGTTCACTGTACTTGGTTAAAATCCAACGAAACCTTTTAAAACTAACTGTGATAACAAAACATAGTTTATTTAAGGATAAACAAGGCACTACCAAAATAAAACTTCCCATGCTTGGGACATAAGGGAATATGAGAAATACTAAAATTATAAAATAGAGAAAATAAGCAGGATAGGAACAAACTAAAAGGATACTGCACAGCTGCACAGTGAGCTGATCAACACATTGCATCATGGATGGACTTCAAACTAGCTACACTGAGTTTCCTATCTGTACCCATCTGACTCTGCCATTTTGAAGAAGGCTCAATGGAATTCTATCGCTGTGTACAACTCCCAGCAAATGAGGTTTTATACAAATGAAATGAAAATTAACTGATTTAACACAGATTTATAAAAGGCACATTGATCAATCTGGTCAAGTGGAAGAAATTACCAAGCATAGGGCAAAAGCAAAGACAGTGGATATAGCGTATGAATTAATAGATACATGGCTGAAGGACAAGCAGAAAATGGGAACAATTTGATATGTCTCAGATTGGCAAAGCAGAGCGAGCGACATGCCTCAAGGGATCAGTTCTCTGATCTCTCTCTTAATTACTATATTCATACGAGTTTTGGACACGAGCATTGGAGGTACGATGTCAACATTTGGGGATAATAATGAATTAGACACCGTGGCAAACTAAAAAAGAATGCCAGAGAATACATGGAGGACATACAGATGTGGAGGATAAGTGGCAGTGTTCATCTCCAAGTCATTTGTGAGCAATGTGAACAGCTGGCCATTCAAAAGAGACCTCTGCAGTGGTCATACATTCTGAAAATCAAATAAACTACATGTACTGGAGAGCTGTCGTTCACTAGTTAGTAGTCGCGCTCTATTCAGGTAGGTTTAGATGAGGATTTCAATACAAGTCTCCATTAAGGATCAGCTAAACAACAACAACCTGCATTTATATAGTGCCCTTCAACACACATTTACCTTATTGCCTTTGGTGGTTCTGAGCACATTGCCCTAGTTGTCCGAGCAAACTAGCTCTCAAGAAATGCATGTACAGAAAGCAATGTATATAAATGTGATGTCCATTATTATTACCTGTCATATTTCTTAAACCTACATCCCTATGACTTGGAATTACATATCAACACCAGAGAAAATAAAAAATGAAATTGTATTAATAATAAGGAATCCAACATGGGCAAATGGGGACTTCTTACAGTAACAGGAAGGATGTCACTTTGACCTTCGAGGACCTGCTCTGACACAATCTCATTTCTGAGGCTAAGTTCCCAGTTTTCTCGCGAATCTGTACATTTGAGTTCCATGATGCTCCAGTTAATTGTTACATAAGAGTTTTTTTTGTGTTCTGGAGACGTCATCTCACTCATCCATTAGTTTTAATGGAGTTCAGATTTCAGATTTAGAACTTAATTAAGTGGCAACTGAGCTTTCGGAATGGCTATTAAATCTAAGTTAACAGCTATGATTTTATTGCAGATCACCCAAAAAAAGGAACACCAATGAGGATTTACAGCAGCTTCGAAGGCTGGAAGAAGGGAAAGCCTGAAAATATCAGTGAAGCTTAGTTATGTCAAAGGAATTATTACTTCCGATTCCATTTTAGTCAAGCTTTCCCCTCACTAAGCTACTCTGTACTTTGGAGGTGCGTTCAAATATCGAAACAGTACCTTTATCCGTTGATCGTCAACATCAACAATTGTGGTGACCCGAATCAACATTGGGTTACGTTTATCCACAGCTTCAAGTTTCATATTCACCTGGAACCCGTGCAGTGCCCTCTGAAGAATGCAAAATGAAAGAAAATATAATTTGTCAGGTGCCAGCCTGGCTCAGTTAGTTGCGCTCTCAACTCTGTATCAGAATTCCCACATTGGGACTTTGAACCCACAGTCTGGACTGGCTGGCACTCCAGTATTGTACTTCGGGACGTTGCATTGCTGTACTTTGGATGAGATGCTAAAACGAGGAATGGTCTGCCAGTTCAGGTGGGCATGTTGGCCAGGACACCAGGAGAAACTCTCTTCTCTTTTCGAATAGTGCCAAGGGATCTTTAACGTTTACCTGAACAGGCAAATGGGACCTTGGTTTAAAAACACCTCCAACAGTGCAACAACCCCAAGGATTGCATTGGAGTGTCAGCTTAGACGATGTGATTCCAAGTTCCAATATGTAATCACTACAGTGAATAATGAGATGTAAAGCTCTGAATGCACAAAAAGAAATGCATAGAAAAAAACTAGATTTTTAACCTTTGCAACATATCTTCTTGCATTCATTCCTTTTCGTATTTTATTAAGGTCTTATTTTGTATCGTTATCTGTGTCTCTCTATTACCGTGCACACTGCAGCCCCAGCAACCTTCCTATCAACAATTCCCCAGACGTTCACATCAAACTTCAGCAATAGACTTCACAAATAGTGCTGTCTTGTTTTTCTGCTGTAGACTAACAGGAGCAGGGATTGAGAAAATATAATTCTAATTAAAAGAAGCAGACGGTAAAGGAATTGGACCAGACTCTGGAGGAATTTAAACATCCAAATTACACGGAGTCCAATGTTTCCACAGAACATTACAGGTTATAAGAGACATTTTGCTCAATCAGTAATGTCACTATAAAAATTCCAGTTACACCACTATTGCTCATTTGAATTTAGATGATCAAGTGTCTCTTCCACTTCCAGCTCAGCTAGTTTGAAAGGAATACTTCAGGGAAAATGAAAAGCTAGATGGTTGTCCAATTATTAAAAGAAAATAAAAAGCCTTTGCATAAGCAAATTTAAATTATTTCACATTACTACCTGGGCAGTATGCAAGGCAAGACTCAGAAATACAATTTTAATTAAGATTTATATATTTTTTAATTTTAAAGAGAGAGACAGAATGCGGGTAGCACTACTGCGTTTCCCTGGAAACGAGATATAGGTTAGCCCCTGCCATTGCTGTTGTTGGTGTGCTGAGACTATCTGGGGCTGCCTGCAAATGAAAACAGTTGTGTTTCATTCCTACAATCAGAAAGGGGCAAATAAAAAAAAACTTAATGACAAGTATATCCAATATACCACAAGTGGCAGGAAAAATTTAAACTGATGCTGTACTGCCAATCCACATTTAAACAGCAGATACCTCTAATGGTTTGGAATCCTAATGTACTTTGTTACAATAATTTCCAAACCAGTTAGTCGTGCATTTAAAGACACTGCAAGGAGCTATATGGTTTCCCTGCTCCAGAATAAAGCTGTTTACCACTGACTGCCAATACTCGCATCTCTTTTCGCAATTCTTTCTTCACGACAATGGCTGAAATATATTAGAGGGAAATAGGAATATGCTAATACAGCAAAACTCGCATGATTCTCATCTTTATAAATTGTATAATTTGTATCTTGACCCAAGTTCCATTCAGTTTTCTATCAAAACCATTTAGGTTTCTTTGCACTAATCTTATTCATCACCTCCTAACTCAGAACACAGCTCCCCTACCCTCCATCACTCCTGCACTTACCGGCTGCATTGAATCACGGGAAGTGATGTCCTAATCTGTCAACACATGTGCACTTCCTGGCCGGCTGCATTGAATTGCAGAGAACGTAAGCTTGATCCACTTTATTTCCTGTGATTCAATGCGATTCCAATGCTTGCCAGCAAGTGTGCATACGGCAACAGGTCAAACACATTGAATTGCGGGAAATGTAGCTGCATACGCACATATAGTGACAAATTACAGCAAGCACACTAACGTTTTTGTTGAATTACGCATGCGCAATGTAGATTATTGATTAAATCAGATGTTATACAACTTAGTTTGTATGCAACTCGGACTTCACACAAATCATATTAAATGTTATGGTCCCGATGATATGACTTGTGAGTTTTACTGTATTAATAATAAAAACCTATCTTAATTAAAAACAAACTGACTGACTTTACCACTCCCTGGGGTCAGGTAGGCATGTATGGGACTGTATCCCAACAGGAGTGAATAGAGAAAAAAGTGGGGGGGGAGGGGGAGAGTTCAGAACACTTCAGTTTTATTCATCCCTTTTTCAGAATATCAAAAGCCCAGAATATCTAAACTATAGTCTTGTCTATCTTGAGTAAAAGTGCATTCAATGCACTACCCACTATTGGCCCTGGAACCTTAAACAGGATGCTGTACACACTGCTGTAAGGGGTAAACATACAGTGGGCACGTTTCTGCTTGAGAAGTCCATTGCAGGGCACACGCAAGGGGAAGAAGGCATTTACTTGGCTTACCTATTCTACATTTGAAATCTACAAATGCATTATATGCCACCACTGTCTTTTTGAAGAAGACCATCTTGAAATAAAATACATTTTACCAGAGTGCTTAATCTTAACTGCAGGATCACCTCCTTGAGGGGTAATAGCTTTCCTCATCCATTCCTATGGGTAATTAACTATACTGCTTGTCATAATTGTGAATCTATTAATAAAGAGCTAGCCATAATGCTCATTTGCAGAATATTTTGAAAGATTCTCCCACCGACTGGAATTTTTTGACATTTCTATGTACAATTAAGAAAACTAATTTCGCCCAAAAAACATACAGTCAATTCACTTTACAGTATATTCTGTGAAGCTTCTTCAAGATGTCTCGAAGATGTGATAAGGCGCTATAACAAATGCAAGGATTATTATTATATAATTAACCAACTTAATCAAACTACATTGTTCCAATTATAAGGCAACCTCCTCCATCCTCCTTTCCATTTTCATAGTTATATTGGGAGGGAGTTTAAAACAAAGTTTAAAAAAAAGCAATATAGTCATTATAAAGCAGTCAAAAGTATGTTTTTGACAATTTCAGAACAATGTTATTAGTTATATTAGTTATATTAGTAAAGGTGATAAAATTATTCCAAAGTTTCATCACATTGTGTCAGCTCCTCTCTCTTTCTCTCTTCAGCTTTCTTAACTACAATCTTTTCTATGATTTTCTCGTTCTGACTCTCTTCTCTCTATCGGCACACTGTTAATTAACACTTACCTTTCTTTCTCTCTCCCCCCTCCTCCTCCATCTCCCACTCATTCACTCCCTTGCTAACTGTTCAGAGCCTTCACAATATCAGCTAAAAATATTCATTGGTGGAAGAATTTTGAAATTGCATATGTGATGCTACTCAGGCCCAGACTGACCCACAGTGTGTGAATACAAGGCAAGTAGCAGTTTTTAAACTATAATTTAGGGAAAAGCCTCCTTATATTCAGAATAATATAGGATATATCCCCGAGTTGTGTACTCCACTAAAAAAATACAGTCACTACACTTTACAATATCCTGTGACGTGCTTTTGAGACATCCTCCTGATGTGAAAGGTGCTAGATCAGGTGAAAGGATTATTATTACTGCAGGGTTGTAGGTGATATTTATACACCTATACATGTGATACCGGGAAGTTATCACATACAAACCTTGAAAACTAGTAATCAACTGAGTTTCTGCATTTGGGACTATTTTGTGCAACAACGTTAACCAGACGTTACTGATCAGAAAACACTCTCAGGAAGCACACATACACTCTGAATTGGATGCTTTGGTAGTACTCAACAAATGGGCAGATTCTGTAGCTACATTCTTATCAATTGCTGCTTGACAACATTAGTATGATTAGTTGAAGGGTGGCGGGGAGATGGTGGAAAGAAATAACTTACTGTTTTGAAAGCGCGAGCTGGAGCTGGAGAAGCACCCGTCTCTTCTAAATACTTTTTCCAAGAGAAATTTTCTGGATCAGGATATCCTAAAATAAAGATACCTATAAATTAAAATACAATTTGTAACGAGGTACATGTATAAAAAAAAAGGCTACAGAACAGACTGAACTCAAAAGCTCCAAAATATAGTTGGAAAATTTGTCTCCATTTCAGAAAGAATAAAGGATTTATATATTCAGGCATGTCCTAAAATTATGTGCTGCACCGTGTAATTATCGGTTTAGAAAATAAAGGTTCTCTTGTTGGGAAATACCAATTGTTATCAATTGGATCGGATCACAAGCACACATTGCCAAAGATTGATAAATTTACCAGCTAGTAGAGAATCAAGCACAGGTGTTTGGGAAGATTGAAACATTTGCAATCAACTGGAGAATCATCGCTAAAATATTCCTAACATAATATAGATAAGTACCATCTTTCTAGCTACAGTAATCTCTTGAAATATATAATTGGGTTTCCATTTTGAGCAGATGAAGTGATTCCAGCAGTGTTTTCTGGTACTGAAGTTTTTTTTGTCAATCTTACAAAGGATTCCGCAGTATACTTTTCTATGATGCAAAATTGCTTGTTCTTCACTTGGGTCATACATAATTTAACACACTTCAAGATACGAGGTGATAAAATAGTTTGTATTCTTTGTACTACAATATGACACCACTTTTATCTTCAAATGGCCTTGTAAAGCCACTATGTCAAACAAACAGACTGCAATGAGAAGAAATCCAATTTAAAAATCAATTTCACTTCCTTTAGTAGTAGTATAGTCCCCCTACGAAAATCCTAGTAGAAATCCCTTTAGAGATAATAATAATTGTTGCATTTGATATAGTGCCTTATCAAGTCTTTGAGACGTCTCAAAGTGCTTCACAGAATATACTGTAAAGTGAATTGACTGTATGTTTTGTGGGCGAAATGTGGTAGCCAATTAAGCACACAATGAGATGGGAATGTCTCTCAGTGTCTGGCCAGCCAAGAAATCACAAAGAAATGTATTGACTCATTTCATGGCTGTTTGTGGGAATCGGCTGTGCATAAGTGGTAGTCGCATTCGCTACAAATACACTTCACTTCACAGTAAATCCTATGAAGTGCTTTGGGATGTTTTCCAGACGTGAAAGGTGCAAGGATTATTATTAATAGATAAACGGAGTTAATCTAAAGTTCTGGAACAGTATCAAGGTTCAGATGATAATTTTAAATAATTTAAGATTTACCCTTGTGGTTCATAGCATAAATGAAACCTCATTGGGATTATTCAATTGTAATTCATTTAAACCTACCTTTTATCCTCTGTGTTAACTATCGGGTACTTAATATAGAAAATCCTTCACTACTTAATTCCTCAATTTTGCTGTTAATGCAATTACAGCTGTGTAAAAATATACTTTAGACACCTTTCATTGGACACAGTGAGGTGAAAAATTTGACTTTTCTTTACAAATTCTGTGCGCTATCGAAAGTATTATTGAATTCACACAAAGGCATTGCAATTTATAATCTATTGCTAAAGCCCAGCAGTGAATGTAAAACATTCCATTTTAAAAAAAGTCAAACCAAGTAATGGATTAGCTACTACTTCAAGATACACCAGATGGTAATTTTCCATCTGTTCCCCTTGCATCTAGTCAAAGAAGATCTTCAGTTTGATTCAAGGCAGATTCAGTGCACTGGTGGAAATGATAGTTAGGAAATTATAAAAATATCAATTTATGTATTGATGCTTTTACTTCTTGCCCAGTGAAAGAGAGATAGAAGGGGAGAGATAGAAGCAGTTCACAACATTCATATATTCCTGCTTTGTGATTTTTGAACCAAAGGACTAAATGGATACATTTGGTTTCTATGCTTTGATAAGCATTAAGAAATGAAATGGGATATTATCAGGTTGATTGCAAATGGTAACCACCACAAAGCAGATAGCCAAACATCCGAGTTAATCCAGAATTCAGATACATTATCACTTGAGGCAGAATTTTCTTACAGCTAATTTAAGTAATGAAACTACCTTTAGATCCAGCAGAGGGCATTTAATAGTGCTAACATCATTTGTAAACTATTATTTAAGTGTGCAATGTACAAACATGCTTTGTGTAAATCATTAATGCAAACCCATCACTCCACCATTTTGTTTAGTGTTAAGAGACTTACATTAATGGCTTTCTATTAAATAATTGAAATAGAAATGAACTGTGAATAAATATTTGCCTAATACATAGAATATTTTCAATTAGGTACTAAATAGTCTTCTATTCTGTCAAATCATGTTGTAAGTAGCTAACCCAATACTCATACGTTTCATAGTACATGGCGTTTTGAGTGCTATTTATATCATTTTAACGTTTAAGAGTTCTTGTTGGTAAGGCACCAATTCTCAGAGTTCATCTTTACTGTAATAGCCTGCTGTTTCGGTCACTGCATTTTATGCCCCAAATCTACTATGCACAGTAACTGCATGTTAAGAATCATGATTTGCTTATTAGACTGAAACATGGTGCACAGTAAGTTCTGTTAATGCTACTAATAATTCCTCTGTTGAGCTTTCTCAGTCTCTGAACATACAGCAGAACTTTATTTATCTACCATAACTGATTCTTCTCTCCCCCACTCATGAGGATGTTTTATGATGTTTGGTTTTTCAGGACCTTACCAAGTGACTTTGGTGATGTACAGCATCTCTGAGAACTCAGTGAATAATTGGAATCTCAGTAAATAATTAGAACTGTCACACAAGAGGATCCAATGTATAGACGCAAGTATTTTAGATTGAAATTGCTTGTATCTTCATACTATCCACATTATATAAATTCATAGAAAACGGTAGTTGCATGAGCCCAAAAGACATGGAGTTCTGCTGAGCTACCCAGGCTTCAACATCAACAGCACCACAACAGGCTACACTACTCCTGGTGTCAGGTAGGCATTTATGGTACTGTCAACCATTTTCTTGCACCTGCTACATAGCCCTGAGACCTTGCTCCACACAATTACTTTGGGTTTTCCAAATCCAGCACTAAATTCTCCAGCAGAGAAAAGTTATATCAAACAAACAATTGTTACAGACTACAATGTTCTCAGAAACACTGCATTTCACCAAAATGGCTTGGCAAGCTCCCAAACAACCAAACATCATAAAACACCCTCTTCATGTAAAAGCTACTCGCATAAAGTTACAGAATACACAGAGGAACTGACCTGTGATAACAAGCTCTGTATGACTCAAACATTTGAATGAACCAAGATTTGAAACTTGAGATTGACATATCAAGCAAGGTGCAGGTTTATAAAACCAAGCTCGAGAGGAATTCAATCAGGCCTCTGGGATGGGAAGATCTGACTCATGAAAGATCTCTACTTTTTAATTCTTTACTTGACACGTCTCACATCAAGTATTTTATTGCGGTTCATTTTTCGGTTTCTACTTTATTTTAGACAACCTTTGGGGGTCTAATTTGCTTGTTAATCTAACCATTTGCACAGAGAGAATTGTTGGTGCTCTTAGTTTATGTAATTAACAGCCACTTAAAAGGATTTATTATCAAGTTAAGAACCAGTTCTTTTCATTGTTTAATTATATATTTAAGAGCACCTATAATTCCCTCTGTACACTTAAAATTGCAAATACTGAGCAGAAAAAGCAAACTAGTGCAGAAACAGAAGCAAGTCACCACACACTATCTGGCACTTATCTCAGGGAGATAAACTGAGAATGTTTCAATGTGAACTGAATTGAAATTGGAATTGAGGTACAGATCAGCCATGATCTTATAGAATAGCAGAACAGGCTTGAGAGGCCAATTTCCATGCAGCAAAGCATACCTGTACACCAACAGCAACAACTTGCATTTATACAATGCCATTCATGAAAGATACGTCTTGGAGCGCTGTACTGAGTCTGGAGACCAAGCAAGGGAAAGGGGAGAAGTGGCACAGATGTGTTTGAAGAGCTCAGATTTGAGGCAAGACTAAGTGGTAGATGGAAGAAATTCCAGAGGTTATGGTACCGTTACCCTAATATGATGCCCTCGGAGTCCCTTAGCGTAGTGTTTAGTGAGCGAGCATCACAAGCGAGGATCTGGGTTTGATTACTGGGCAGTGCGAAACCTTAGGCAAGTTTTCTTACTCCACACACTTCTGTTTACCTAACATTAAGTAGGAATCCAGTTATTAGTCGAATGGTAGATAGCTGTCTGGTGGCAATAATCCCTTCCCCTAAAAATATGGTCACTCAATCCACGACTATTTGTGGGACAATGCTGTATACAAACTGCGTTTAGCCCACAAAATACACAGTCAATCCACTTTACAATATATTCTGTGAAGCGCTTTGAGACGTCTCAATGATGTGATAAGGCACTATATCAAATGCAAGGATTATTATATATACTGTTGCAACTAATTTTTCAGGCCACACATGCAACAATACTCCCTTGCCCCCCAGTAGTGCACATATTTGGAAAGCAAATCATATTCAGCAAGTGTGAACATATTTCTACAATTTCATGTTTTCATGTGTTTCATGATCTAATATTTTAATTTTATAAAATCTAAATTTGGCCAGAGGAATTTTGTACTCAGAAAAAAAGCTCCCACGCATTGTTATTAACACAACTGGCTGTTAAAATGAAAATGGGATGAAAAAAATGTGACATTCAATGTGATAACCAGACATAATACTCTTAATTTCAGTGCCAGGTCCTGTTAATACCATCTTGGCACAACCAAAGATTTAAAAATTTTAGTTCATATTAACATTTGTATTTTTAAAAAATCTCTTGTGTTTCAGAAATACTTTTTGAATTTATAACTTGTTGTAAAAAAATCTCCAAATCTATTGGGAAATTTGTCCAAATCCTGCTTTGTCTCATGATGATTTTTCCATGATTTTTCCAAATCATTATAAGCTCACACAAACCTCAATCTCTGACACTAAGAATTTTTGGGGGGCTGGTGCTAGTGGTCGGCCATCGATAAGACTAAATTTACATCAACAATATGTTTTATTCTATTTAAATTGCTAACGCAGTAGGAATTGGGCCACAGTAACACAAATTAGGTTTCCACCTGAATTTTCTATTAGGTTCATCAATAATTTAGTCAAATGGATTCTTTTTTCTTCCTCTGCTTATTCTGCAGTACAATTATATTACATATTAAAAGGTTCCTGTCAAACAAATTATGGTCTCATCAGATACAGTGCAACATAAGGAAGAGTAAGTGAGAAAGCATATTTTTAGAGCAGGGCTGCAATGCTCCTTTGTACAAAAGCATTGAAAATTAAATGTTTAACATATCAATCAAGTTATCAAAGGCCGTATATAGAGGTATCTCTCGAACAGCTTACAGACCACTTTCCGTTGAAATACCTAGGCTGAACACTGAAATGCCTAGTTACAGTATTAAGTCAAAATGATAAAATCTATGTCACACTCTTACCTTAAAATCAGAAATGTTATGTCTTAGCAACAGAACAACATTCGGACCATGATATAGTTTGCATTTAGGCAATTTTAGAGTTAAGGTTATTGTACAGAAGTAGCTACTCAGATTAGGTTATTTAAACGATAGATCTTTTCTTACAGTGGTTGATTCCATTGATTACAAGTTCTTCCTATGATCGCATCCTCTGTCCTAGCCAGGCTGATACTCCACTGCAGTGCTGGGGTGCAGATATTACAGTGAACCCTCCTGGAAAATGAGTTTGTAGCCATTTATTTGGCCAGGATGCAACCCAAACTCAAATACCCTGCTGCTATTTACTTTCAACACTCGCACTCGAAAAATAGACACTGGAGTGGAATACTGCCAGCACCTACAGAACTACACCACAGCACACTCAGCAACTTCAAAAAAGTGAGGAACGTTCGGAGAAGAATAGACAAAAGGTTGGTGATGGAGGTAAGTGATTGTAAACTGGATAAGAAGTATATTAAAAAATGAACATTATGAAGTGAGACTACTTAATTAATTTACCTTCACCTTCCATAGCTCTAAGACCCTGCGTGAAGGCTATTGTAAAAGCAAGTTGTACTACAATATTCTCTCTTCCCCATATACACTTGTACAATGTCCTCTCCCCCATATTCACATTATAAAATATCCTCTCCTCACCAAAATACACTTTGTATAATCTCCTCTCTCCCCCTTACTATACAACACAATGTCCACATAATGTTCTGTGTAGACTGCTGACTATCAGAATATATCAAAGTTAAACTTGTTTTGCTCGCCTCACAACATCCCATGAACCTTTTTCTTATCTTTAGGGTCCAATAAATGGAACTGACATTTAATTAAATGTAACAGGAATTCTGCTGGTGTTGTAGGAAATCTGATATGTTGGAGTTAATGCTCTGTAATTTTTGGAAGGTTGAAATCCTTGTTGGAATGCAAACAAAATGTGTCTGATTCAATTAGGTTAGCTAGGAGACCTGGGATCAAGCAACTTGACTAGGATTTCAATAATACTTTTAGGTTAAAAGTAACAACAATCAAGTGCGTGTAGTGGCTGGTAGTTTGAGCCTAATCTCAACAGAATGCCGATTCCTTAGTGGCCAAAAAAACCCACACAGAGCAGAGGATCAGTTGATTTTAATGTTGATCTCATTCCTTGTCAAAACCAGTGCTGTTGTACAAGTTTTCAAAGCAAGCCTTTCGCCTTTGTCTGAACACTTGAGATTTTGCAAACGAGAAAAATACCCTTATTTGTGTGTGATGAAGCACATCACCCGTACATGGATGTTCAATCTTGACACACGTGCAGTCTCCATGGTATAATATAAATGTACTCTATAAACCTCCTGCTCATGTATAAAGCAAGCATCTCTTCCTTAGGGGACAAGCACAACTAATGCTTTCTTTCAATCATTTTGGCAAGCATAAGGTAGTAATGAGATTTTCATACACATAAGCCTCAAGGAATTGTGAATTTTCTACCACAATGATATATTAATGTTCTTAAAATTAGTCTGCTTTTATTAGGTTAATGACCCTTCAGTCAGAGACATGCTGGTTAAAGGCTGTTTGTTTGAACATATTTTTAAACAAGGAAATCATTAAGCTCACAGGAAAACTGTAAGTCAGTTATAATATGTTCATTCTTTTGTGTGTGATATTACTTGTTCAAATTTGTGCTCTTCAAGGTGTCAGCCTACCTCAGTTGGTAGAACTCTCATCGCTGAGTCAAAAGCTTGTGGATTCGAACTCCACATAAGGACTTTGAACTCACAGTCTAGGCTGACTCCACAATAGTGCTGGGGAACGCTACACTGTTGGAGATGCTGTCCTTTGGACGAGATATTAAATCAAAGTCCTGTCTGCCTGTTCATGTGGCCATTAAGGATCCCATGGCGCTACTTGAAAAGAGAAGAGAGTTTCTCTGGGTGTCCAGGCCAATCAACTCTCAGATAAAAATTGGTCATTCACTCCTAATCCTAAATTAGAATTCTAAATAAAGTTGATGTACAGATTAGGCAGTTCAAACTTGCCTCTGAAAGGAAATGGATGGGAAGAAACACGATGTGATATGGAGGGGGGTAGAGACATGCAGAAAACAAAATAAAGTTTTTATTTATGTTTAAATAAACATGCAGAAAACAAAATAAACTTGACTCATGTGGAGTATAAACACTGACATGAACTGGTGGGGTCAAATTATTTGTTCCCATACGATACATTCTTTGTTATTCTTTGTAAAGCGCCCCGATGTTATGGTCAGCCTCAACAGCAGAAACAGTGTACTGTATTAGATCAGCAAATCTAGTTCTCAACCAAGCCATTCTGCTGCTGTTTGTGCTGGAGGCTAATTACTGCTGAATCGTCAATAATGTTTGCAGCAAACACTGGGAACAGTGACGAAACTGCCAAAATCCATGTCATTTTAAAGTTGATTAGGTATACATGAGTTTATTAACTAATAATCATAATAAAATAATAACTGCAACAACCCATTTTATGGGCATAGAATTCTAATGACAAGCATGAATCCTTATTATTTTTCTGGCTTAAATATAAATAGATTTTCTGCTGCAGCTTAAATAAAAATAAATTGAAGAAGATCAAAAGAGAAAGGATTTTTTTGCATCAAGTTAAAGGAAGTAATTTTAGAATGGCATTTGTAGAAGGATTCAGAATTTATAGTTGCATCATTAATTTAATTGGAAATGGGAGCAATAGTTAGAATTTTCTTTGCTGTGAAATTGGTTGTGGAAAGCATACTTGTGAAAAGATGTAGACAGATCATTACACTCAAAAAAGGCCAAGTTTCAAAAGTTTCAAATATCAGGCACATGCAAAAGTGTTTCCTTGGGGCTGAGCTAGCTCCAAGATGTTGTATTTAGCATAGAATCCTCTGTATCAGTCTCAGTTGTTTGGTTCCTGAGGCAGGCAGATCCCCAATAATCCAAGGTACTAGCCAGATTGATTTATAAAAAGGATTTTGAGGGCAGGCAAGTCACTGAAGGGCTGAGATTGTCCCCACTCTGCTTTTCTTAACCCTGTAAGCCAAAGCATTAATGGGTAGGGAAAAGGCTGGAAAAGCAATGAGAAGTGTTTGCAACAGAAAGCTACACAGTCTAAGATGATTACACTCCAGCAGTTCTCCAATGCAAACTCTGGGATCCCCAAGCCTTGCCTTGTGACAACCTGTGTCTAATTCTTTATTGGATTAGATTAGCAGTGTGTGTCCCTCAAGGTGGTGATGGGTTTCCGCATGTACATGACCCAGCTCACCTTCCCTTACAAAAAAAATCCATTGTACTTTAGACAATGATTTGGCATAGAGCTGGTCTGTGACCTGCGGTGGCCAATTACGGCTCAGTCATCTTCCTTAAAGGTGGTAACTAAATTGCTCAAATTCAGAACCTTTCCATGGTTGATCAACTCCCTCAAAATGTCTGTTGTTGTTTCAAAAATCTTCTCCCTTGCTTCTTTAAGTTCTCTTGGGTACAGTGCACCTAACTTGGGTGGGTGGTGGGAGGCTGGAGGGTGACTTATTGGATTTCAATCCCTTGAGCCTATCAATAACCTTTGTCTGGGACACAATGTCCTAACACTCACGATATGTATTGGAGTTATATGGAATGTTTTGAGGAAGAATCCCATTCTGAATGAATATTATCCATCCTCCACTTCACTGCTGTACCTACCTTTACTGGGCATTTAAGTCAGGGGTGCTGCAGGAATACAGGCATGAGTAAAATAAAAGATAACAAGGATTTGGAAGAGAAGCATCTTCCAGCCCCAGGATTAAACTGGTTCTAGAAAACCATACAGATGTGTGAACCATGATCGACTCACCCACCTTGAGGAGCAGTAAGTGGTTTGTTCTGTTCCTGACACCAACCCACCGGATGGATGGACGGACTGCCAGCATCACACCTGCCAAACAGGTAATACATCACATCAATAAATGAAAACACAAACAATCTATTTGATATAGAGAATCTATAAAACGATGCAACTGCCATGAATATAGTACCACTTATTTTGTTGCACTATCTACTGTAGTTACACGTTTTCTCACTTTAAAGAATTTCAACTTCCTTATGTAAATAATATCCAATGTCATTTGTTCAGTGTCTCCGAGAGACATTGCTCGTTAAGAAAATAAGAGCTATTTTGGACAGAAAATCTTTACCCAAGCATTTTACATATGCCTTAGCTCTAAATTGTACCCTAAGGAGTGAAATTCCACGAACCCTATAGAAATATCATTTATTATTGTTGGTCACTGAAACATTAACCTTCAACAAGAATCCTATTATAAGTACACACCGCCAGGGTTGGTGGCAAAACCACCAGAAATATGTTCTGTGAATGAGGAAGCAGGCAGACCTTTTCTTTTTAAAACGGAAAGGTAGACTGCTTAGTAATCACGAGGTTAAGTTAGAGAATTCAGAGAGCAGGTGGTTTGTAGATGAAGGGAAACTTCTATCAAATAATGCAAATGTTTGTAGCTATGGTGATTAATCCAAAATTCTTCATTTGTTGGACAATAAAGAAAAAGGATTGGACAAAATTATCACAGAAAAACCTTGGGAGACTGAAGACCTAAATTTTAAGGGCAGATTGAACCACTGTAGGACAGAACACTTAGGAGTTTGAGTTACTTGATGATAGAGAATTTACTTCCATTCAGTGAATTCATCAACAAGACATTGCTTAATGATTTCTGGAACTTTTTGGCAAGCACAGTAAAAGTGGGTCAATAACTTTCTGATTTGTGGCCAAGCTGGGTTGGGCGTTTATTAGTGTGGAGCCAGGACCAGTTAGTACCAAAGCAAGGTCTTTGAGCAATGTACCAAACAATGCTGCTCTGAGAGCTGAGGCAATGTCGATACAACATAATACTAGGAGGAACATTGATGAGCTTTGTTTCTTGGATCACTTTTAGATGTACCAGATTTTCAGCATTTGGTTAAAAGAATATTTACATAATGCATGCAACAAAGATCCCTTTCAAATTACATTCCACCTTTTAGATGAGATGTTAAAACAATGTTCCGTCTGCTTATTCAGGTGGATGGTAAAGATTTCATGGCACTTCAACAATAACAAATTGCATTTAGACAGTGGTTTCACGTCAAGAGGATGTCCGACAGTTAAGGTTTGCACGCAAGCTGGGGTTTGGATTCGGGGGGGAAATCCAACCCCCAGCAAACCTCTAGATTATTGTCATTAATTTTATTGTTCCAAGCTGCTACCATGTTTGTGTACAGAAAAAAAAGCCTGTACACTTGAGAGATGTTTAGATACTGTAAGTTTGCTATAAAAAGTGTTTTTTTATTCAGTTCTTTATTGAAAAATATTCATTTTCTCCTCTTTAAATTCAATCCACTTTGCAAAACATTGCCCAGGCCAGCAATCACACCTGCTCCCACATTTAAGATGGAGAACAGATCACCCTCTTGCTCTCTCAGGCATATTTTGGTGCTTGGCACTGGGGCCTGAATAAGTGGAAAGATGTATAAACTTAAAATCGAGAAGTACGTACCCTCAGCAAAAATGAATAGATAAATAAAAGATAGTTATAAACCCTGGAATAGTAGGAACACAGCAGTCTCTTGAAGGTGCCAGACATGACTCACCGGGTGAAAACAATTACTGGTATGCTCACAACACAAAGGAGCAACTGAGATTTGTCAACTGAATCAAGTGATTTCCGATATATTTTTTCTTTCAGGTTGAACTTCAGTTTGCAACATGGCTCCAAATTAACTTCAGAGCATAAAATTAATGAAAGACTGTGTAATGTGGTTAATAATAGGAGAATATTTCTCCAAGGAACAGAGAGGACTGAACATGGTGTTAGTTTAATTCCTTAGTACTCTTAATTTTATGTAATACTATTTTTGAACATGCCATGAAAAATGTACTTGTACAATGTGGGCCACAAAGGAATTCAATGTGAAGAATGATTGCGGAGAATCGTTTCTCACCAGTAATCGTATGTGTCGTCCCAGTTATCAAAATGCACCAAAAAGCGATTTTCTATCATGTCGGTCACTGTAGCAACACAGATGAGTGAAGGATTCTTTCTGTCAACAGCCTCCAACTTCATACCAACTCGAAATCCTGAAGGAGTAACAGTCTGAAAGAGACAGATATTGGTGTACATTACACCCAACGAAAAGTCACAAAACCTAAAAAATGAAAAATTTATTTCATAAAACTCGACATCTGAAGATGGAAATATGCGAGATTAAAATTCAAGGCTGTGGGTCTTGTTTGTTACCAGTGTAAAACTGTGTGCCAGTGGAACTCCACGGTCCATAAATTGAGCTACCACAATAACATCAGAGCCCTGCTCCCCACATCACCTGCAGAAAGAAGTTTAAGTTGCAGTGCAATAAAGAGCCAAATTAAGAATGTGAAGCTCACCAAAATGAGCTGTTACTTTTAAGACCTGAATTTGTTGTACAGCAAGAAATATAAACCAAGCTTCCTCTCCTGTGCTTATACTGTTGGACGGAGTTTCATTACACAATCCTTGCATTTGATATAGTGCCTTACTATGTCATTGAAACATCTCAAAACTATTTCACAGGATTTACCGGAAAGTGAATGTGTATTTGTATGTGAATGTCCCATAAACAGCCATGAAGTGAATGACCAATTTTACCTGGAGGATTATTGGTTTGGACACCAGGAGAAACTCCCACTCTTTTCAAACAGGAACTTTAATGTCCACCCGAACAGGCAGACGTGACCTCAGTTTAATATCTCACCCAACAATGAGACATAAATACAGCACCTCCAACAACACAGTGCTCCCCCAGCACTGCTTTATGCGTCAGTCTTGACTATTAGTTCCAAGTCCTGACTTAAGAGGTGAGAGTGGTACCAACCGAGCTAAGTGACACCTCATCGCCAGGAGTATAAACACAGCATAATTGTACAGCAATGTTATATCACACTGATTACGAACCAATAAAGCTCCTCACTAAGTTTTATTTTAGCTCCTTACTCTAACGATGCAGTATGCTGTCACTTCCTTGCACTCAATAAATGAATTTCTAACTAAATTGCTAAATTCAGGTTATATCAACATTCACTCAGTCATGGGCACGAGTGTTATGTGACCCCCAACAGTTGCTTCTTCATTACCAATACTCCATTATGTAACAGTTTACAACTATAATATACTTTTATGCAGCATTCATCTAGGGTGGCTTTCTCAAAGCACTTCACATACCTGACTTAGAGCCCGAGGTGTGAATAAATTTACCGCTTACTCTTCATTTTAACATTTTCAAAATAGACTAAGAAAAAAATTCACCGTGCTTTTACTCTCTTTTGATATACTAGATACGTTTTCAATCCACCTCTTAACATGCAAACTATTCCCCAGTACAGAATCTAAAACATGAAGGTTTCAAATGGGATTCCTTAGTAAGAACTCTTGCGGAGCAAAAGGCGATTCGCTCCTGGAACTAGAAGCCAACCTGTAGGAAGCAGTTTGCATCAGAGAGGAGTAACCACATATTGTTCACATACTTCTTGTTCCAGAGCAATTGCCACTCGGAGTCTCTATTAAGGAATCCTGTAAGACCCCAGTCTGTAGCACACAAAAAGGTGACTCAATATGACGTCCTTTCACACAGTGAAAATTTAGAATGTCGAGTTAAAGATTTCATCATTGCTCAAGAAAATATATTTGTCTCATGACACACGAATACATAAATAAGAAAAGGCCATTTGGTCCAACAAACCAATTCCTTCTATACATCCCCACAATTCATGGCTGTTTGTGGGATACTGCAAATGAGCTGCTGCGTTGGCCTACAAATACAGTAAATCCTGTGAAGCGCTTTGAGATGTTTCATCGGTGTGATAAAGCACTATATCAAACCATTATAATGCATTATTATTACCTCACCTCCAAACTCTAAAGTAAATATCTTATCTCTTTTTTAAGGTTTGTTTCTCTTTTAATGTGATGGAACACCATTTATGTGTTAAAAATAAAAATAAAATTTGTTTTGTACAAAGCTAATGACGCTGAAGTTTGGTTGACTGACTGAAACTGTACCAGTTCTCTATAATCTTACACGCACGCATATTTTGTAAGTTGTGGTAAAACTACAACCTTTTGTATAATTTCATTAAAAACAAATTACATTTGTATAGCACCTTTCGCATCGGGAAAACATCCCAAGGCGCTGGACAGTAAAGGATTTGCACAATTAACACAATTATTTCACCAATATTCCTATTGTACAGATAATTAATAATTAACACAAAGGCCTAGGTTCATGCTTGTAAATATCCCATCTGTTAACATAATCACTCACTGAATTAAAATGCTGGTATCGTTTAATGTGATGACAATAATACTTACTGTGTTGTGATGTTTAAATAAATTCTTTGGGGCTGCCTGGGCCTTGCACACTTTCAGGTAGTTAGACCAGTTAAATTCCTCTTCTTTACAGTCTGGGAAGGAAGTCAGCAGGCAGTCAATACTGTGAGTATAGATAGACAATTTAACTGTTCATATCACGTGTCACGAGACGTTGTATTATGGCAAGTAAAAAACAAATATTCCTCTATAAATGCCAGCTAAGTGATGGATGGTTAAGGTTTTTCAGATCTAAGTTGCTCTCCAGTACCCTGTAATGACTAATTTTCAATGGGTGGCCATTGGCCCCGAGTATTGGCAGGTAACCCAACTATAGACCCTGTCATAGCCCAGCCTGACCTCTTCCCACCTGGCTACCACACATGCACACCACCAGTACCAGATGACGTAGAGAGATCAAGAGCAAGAACCCTTGCTGATTTTCTCTCCTAACACGAGGAAGGCCAGGACCAATTTAGCCTCCCTATGCAGCCCTGCTGAGACCAGCAAACCCAGCAGTGATCAGCAAGCGGATTTGAACCAGTGAACTACTGGTCCATAAGCGGCAGCTCTAACCATTTCACCATCTGGGCTGTCCGTTATTTTCAAAATTATTCTAGTGTTGTAGACATAAACACTTCATCATAAACACTATTTGTGGGACACTGCTGTGCGCAATTGGCTGCCGCGTTTCGCCCACAAATATACAGTCAATTCACTTTGCAGTATATTCTGTGAAGCGCTTTGAGACGTCTAGAAGATGTGAAAACATAAGAACATAAGAATTAGGAGCAGGACTAGGCCATTCGGACCCTCGAGCCCGCCCCGACATTCAATAAGATCATGGCTGATCTATTCTAACTCCACCTACCCACTTTATCCCCATATCCCTTAATCCCTTTATCCACAAGAAATCTATCAATCTCAGTCTTGAGATTGATAGATTTATAAGTGCTATATCAAAAACAAGGATTATTATTATTATTCATCACTTGCAGAAGCTGCTGTCATTAAGATTAAAGTATTATGTCTTTGAATAATCACAAATACAAGTGTGTTCCTGCAACCGCATATTGCAATGTATTTTCTGTTCTCTGATAACATGGATTTAAGCACTTTAATAATCCTAGCAATATCTGTGTGAGATATTTCAGACCTTTAGGTGGGTATAATTTCCGGTTCGTCTTCTCACACCATCCTACAGGATGGATATCAGGTGAGTCAATGTTGATCCAGAAGTCAAAGCACTCAGAATATCCGTCAAAATGAAGCCTCAAACGATAACCACACACCTCAAGGGGAAAGACGGTACACACTGAATTAATGGTAAAGTAACAATGTGAAAGAAATCATTGACATTTGCAAGTTGTACTATTATATATTAAACCCAGGGGGTTTCCAAACTTTGTGGGCTCAATACCTTCTGACTGAGGAACCCCCCGCTACACAATATATCCATATAAATTGAGTATCTTACTTTAATTGTCCACAGCATTATGAAGAATTAAAGAAAATAAATAAAAATAATAAACAATGTTAATGCAGATATCATACATATGGGTTCTGTTTGGCTAATGAGTAAGGCTTATCTCAGCTCACCCACAATTGGCAACATCTAACCCGCAAGTAATTCCCAGAGTGGTGGGGGCTGTGATTGCTCTGCACAGAGCAAGCATTCCAGCCGTCAGGAAGGTTTGTTCCAGTTACCGCCTTGTACACCCCAGACCTCGAGCCCCCCCCTCCCACCCGACCGCTGAAACCATCTCGCAGCCCCCCCATCCCCACCGTTTGGGAACCAATGTATTAAAAAATAGTTAGTATTTCCCTGGTTAAAAAAAAACCCATGTGTGTTTTTTCAAGGACAAGCGGAGGTCAGGTTTAATAGTACAAATCCTTGCATTTAATACAGCGCCTTAATAAGTCGTATAGACGTCCTTCAGGCTTCTTTATCATTGTGAATTTGGCTGTTTTTTTACTTTAGTGAAAACCAATAATAATAGTCGTTGCATTTGATACAGTGCCTGTAGCCATGGATTGAGTGACCAAATTACCAAATTAATTATTATTATTATTGGAAGGATTATTACACCGGGAAAGCGATCCGCCAATCGACTAAATATATTTTCAGAATATACTTCAAAATCCCCGAAATAAAATTGTTCATTTACTTCATGGCTATTTGTAGGACATTGCTGTGCACAAATTGGCTGCCATGTTCACCTAAAAAGTGCAGTCACTACATTTTACAGAAAATCTTGTGAAGCATTCTGAGTTATCCTCCTGACGTGATAGACTCCTTATCAAATGCAAGTATTATTTTATTATTATAATAAAACAGGCAATGGTTATAGCGCCATTTGAATGTTACAGACAATTTCTCAAAATCAAAGACAGAATGGTTATACAGAGGAATAGCAGCTCTCTCAAAATTTATTTCAAGTGACTTTTCTTAATATGTAACTATTAAATGTCTACTTCCAGGAGGTTTTTACCAGGAGGATGCTAAAAATTATATCCCTGCCCCCAACACCCAGAACACCGGCTTGAATTTCAGGATTCACATAAATCAGTAACTATTTCAATTGATGTTTCAGTAACTGTTGAAGTTGCATTAGCCTACATCAACAAATTCAATAACAGTTACAAATAGAGCCACTAATTCCCTAAATTTCGGGAATCATGCAGAATAGCCCTCGTGAATTCTGAAGACACCTGTCTTCCTATCCATCTCTAATCCTCCTCTCAATGTATAAATAGCTCTTTCTGTGGCCTTTGTACACTCCCAATTTTGCAATATTGTTTTGAAGAATCAACACAGTTAATAAGAGCAGATAAGGGGAGCAAAAATCCAGGTTATACATCAATCCTTCAAACAAAATAGACAAGTTAACAAATCAAAGATATTCATCAACAAAACCTTACCTCTGACACTGACACCACACAAAACATGGACGGGTGGCGTGGGTCAACACCCTCTAACCTCATTCCTACTTTAAACCCATTTTTAATCTGTAGAAACGTTTGGAACTGAAATGAAAAAAAAACATTGTTAGTGTTTCTGAGCAATAGGGGTTCTACATTAAACACAACAGTGCAACTTCCCCTCTTCCCTTTATCTTGAGCATGAAGGGCATTACATAAATACAAGTTTTTGTTGTTGTTGAATCGTATTATCATACAATCTTCACTAACTGGAGGCTGAATACCAATACTAGAACTCGCAATGTGGTTCCCACAACAACTTGTATTTATATAGCTCCCCTCAAGCAGGGCAGTGTCCCAGAGCATTTGACAGCGGCGGAGCACGATGCTGAGCCAGAGGGAAGGGGGAGGTGACCATAGGCATGGTCGAAGAGGAGAGTCGTCAGGCTCGACCTGAAGATGGGTAAGGAGGGGACAAGGTGGAGGGATAGAGGAAAAGTGTTCCAGTTTCGGGGTGTGGTGGCTAAATGCATGGCCACCAAAGGTGGAACAGAAGATTCGAGGGGTCTGTGTCTCATTAGCAGTTTTAACATCTTCATGGCACATCTGCATTTCTCAGTGCTCGAATATTTTAAAAATTCACTGAAAATAGCAGTCAGTCGTTGGTGTGAACATCCCCTCCCCTGACTCCAAAATGGTCTAGCCAAAGCCTACAGTTATTCTTGTTGGTTAGCGAAACATTAGTGGCTGCTGTTGTTGCTGCCCAGAGTCTCAGTACCATGTCACAGGCACTGACTTAATTTTGCAACATCTGCATCACGTCACACATGCACAATAAAAGCTGGTTAATTTGTATGCTACTGAGGAGCATTGATGAAGGCTGTATTCCTCTTGAAACAATATGGCTGCACATAATGAAGCTTCTTTTCCTACTAGATCAGAAAAATAAATTCGACACAGCTTTTAGCTACACCTTAACAGTGCTTGCAATGAGTGCAAACTTCCTCCACTAACTCTGTTCTCTATTAAGGATGCAAAACAGCCCCCATAGCGTGAAGCATTTTGACGTGGTTTGCTTTTACTAAATACGAGTACTTTATAATTATTCAAAAAAATAAATTAGCATGTAGTACCCCCCTTGATATAATTTGTATTGTATAATGACATTGCTATTTTTCAATAATCACACGTGAATTGAACTCTGTAGATTGGATTAAAAATTATATTTGTATCATAATGAGGGATAATGCAGCCCTGGCGTTCCAAATCAAAGAATAAACACAACTATACAACAAGAAAAAGGTGGCTGCAAGATCATTTTAAATTTGACTTACATTGGTTATTTGTAGTTTTAAAATATAGAAAAATAAATAGCAATCTAGGTTATTCTCAGCTTTTTAAATTGGTAATAAAATATCTTGATGCGTCATCAGATTTCCTGTACTTTGTGATGAGATTCATAAATTACTTTCATGTTCAGTGCAACAACAAGATTCAACAAGATTACATTTGCATAGCACCTTCCACATCAGGAGAACGTCCCAAGGTGCTGGACAGTGTACAGAATTTCAGACCCGAGCTGGAGTCAGGGGGGAGAAAGGAGGGGAGGGGAAGGGGGGTGACCAATGGCATGGTCGAAGAGGAGGGTTTTGAGGCTGGTCTTGAAGGAGGCTAAGGAGGGGGCGAGGCGGAGTGATTGGGGGATGGAGTTCCAGAGGTTGGGGGCAGAGTGGTTGAAGGCTCTCCTGCCAATGGTGGGGTGGGTGGGTCGGGGGACATGGAGCAGGCCGGAGCCGGTTGAGCGGGCGGGTTGATAGGGGGTTAGGAGGTCACAGAGATAGAGTGGGACGAGACCATTGAGGGCTTTGTAGGTGAGGACCAGGATTTTGAACTGGATCCTCTGAAGGATAGGGAGCCAATGGAGTTGGGCAAGAATGGGGGTCATGGAGTTTGGTGCGGGAGAGGACACGGGCTGCAGAGTTCTGGATTATCTGCAGCCTGTGGAGGGAGGAGTTGGGAAGGCTGACAAGCAGGCCGTTTGCATAGTCGAGCCTGGAGGTGATGAAGGCATGAACAAGAGTTTCAGTGGCCTAAGGGGTGAGGTAGTGGCGCAGTCAGGCGAGCAAGCATTCAATCAACAATATCGTAAACCATTAACTTCATAGTTATGGCTTTTTCACAAAAAATAGCTATACCAGTGCTGGCCAAACTGTGGCCCATGGGGCCATCAAGAAACAGCCCTCGAACATTCACACAAGTCTAGTTAAGGCGTGTCCAACCATTAGTATTTTTTGAATATTTCTTGATTTATTTGTTGGAGAGGAAGCCCCTAGGCTCTGGAACTCCATCCCCCAGTACCTTCGCCTTGCTTTCTCCCTTTCCTCCTTCAAGGCCGGTCTCAAGACCTTTCTCTTCGACCGTGCCTTCAGCTCCCCTCTCGACTCTCTACCCCCTCCTCGCTCCTTCCCTTCCCTCCCCTCACCCTGACCATTTCCCCCTTGCTCGGGTCCCTACCCAACTGTCCAGCGCCTTGGGACGTCCTACCGACGTGAAAGGCGCTCAATAAATGAAATCTTGTTGTTGTTGATTTAAGGGATAAATCAAGGCATTTAAGAAATATTCAAACAAGAAAAAACTATTTTGTTGGCCACCATTGGTTTATACCAACAACACATTTTTGATGCTTAAATGTTTCTCCTGCATGTCATTTGTTACACCATAATCCAAAAGGATATTATAACAACAATAATCTGTATATTTGGGACAGTGCTTTTCTCATCAGGAAGACCTCTCAAAGCATTTTGCAGGATATAATGGAAAGTGTGTATTTTGCAGGCAAACATGGCAGCCAAATTTGTGCACATCAATGTCCCACAAACAACAATGAGCAATTTTATTTGGGGAATTGTTGGCTAGGATGGTAAGGATATAAGTATCATTCTCTTCAACCTTTGAAAGAAGTTGTACTCCCATCTTCAAACAAGATATTGACTACATGCCATGAGGAGACATCAATTCTTATTCCCAGGTAATATGATTTCCTCCATCCACTGTATAAAAGGCTTCTTTCTTGTCTATGTTATTAGTTTGTGACTAAAGGGAAACAAAATAATGTTGCAGTGCTCAGCAATAGCACTGAAATCTCTGCAGTAAAAATTGAAAACACCCTCAGGCCAGAACATAGTGGAAAGACAAAAAAAATGCTAGGTCAACAAGAAGATTTGTTGGCAGTGGTTAAAATTCTTTCAAGGAATGAAGACTATGATGGTGAGTGCTGCAAATTTAACCTTCATATAGAAATAGGGCTACAACAAAGAAACTGGAACTACTGGAGAGACTCGGAAGTCCCACTTCTTCTGACACATAGTGGCCCAAGTGTAAGTCTTTCTGAACCACCAAGGTAATAAAGATAACAAATCATTCAAATTATCTTTGAGCCAAGGTACCATATGGAATTTTGTGTATTTTGCCTCAAGCGATGCCGTGTAAGTGCAGTGAGCTCTGAACAACAACAACAACAAGATTCCATTTATAAAGCGCCTTTCATGTCAGGAGGACGTCCCAAGGCGCTGCACAGTTGGGTCATGACCCGAGCAGGGGGGAAATGGTCAGGGTGAGGGGAGGGAAGGGAGGGAGCGAGGAGGGGGGAAAATGGTCAGGGGGAGGGAAGGGAGGGAGCGAGGAGGTGGAAGAGAGTCGAGAGGGGAGCTGAAGGCACGGTCAAAGAGAAAGGTTTTGAGACCGGCCTTGAAGGAGGAAAGGGAGGAAGCAAGGCGAAGGCACTGGGGGATGGAGTTCCAGAGCCTAGGGGCTAAACATCACTGATACAGTCCACTACCTGATTTGTTAACTTGTATTCAATAATTATATTACCTGAAGTAATCAATACAGTAAAAATATTTGATAACAACAATTTCTATAGCCCACTTACACACAGGGAGAATATCTTAAAGTGCTTTACAAGAGACAGAAGGAGATAAATAGGGTGGGGGAGGTGGACAAGGTGCAGTCAAAGACAAGTTTTGAAGGCTGAGTGGGAGGAGGCAATCTAAAGGCATTTGGCAAGTGAGTTTTAGAGGATTGTGGCAAAGTGGCCAAGAGTCATGAAGTAGGCTAGAGTTGGTTAATCAGAGGGAGAGGCCAGGGGAATAGGACTACAGGAGATCTGAAAGTAAGGACTGAGGATCTGAAAGTTGATCTGCTGGGAGATAGGGAGCCAGTGGAGATGCACGAGCATAGGGATAACAGGCCCTGGAATCTGATGCAGTAAAGTATGAAGGCTGGTCTACAGCATGTGCAGTGAAGCTCGTGAAATCAGTAAGCAGGGCATTTAAAAAGTCGCGACTGCAGGTGACAAAGGTGTGGATGAGAGTTTTAGCTGCGTTGGGGGTAAGGTAGTAGTTTGGAATTGTAACCGTCAGTTTCAGGGCAGAGACAGGATTTTTTCTTCACTTGGAGGATAATCGATGACTGGAACAAGTGAGGTGGTTGAGGTCAGGACACCAAACTCATTTAAAATCAGCTTGATGCTCTGATTGGGGGGGGGGGGGGGGGGGGTGCTGGAAGGATGAAATTGGCTGAGCCAAAGAGCCTTCTTCATCCAAATAAATGTTGTGATCTTGTGAACCTCCTTGCATTTGGCGTTTAGTATGGAGGAGAGGGGAGCGTGGCAGGTAGTTGTGGTGGAGAAGAGGCCTTCTAAAATGATCCTGGATTAGAAACAGGAGTTGGGCAGCTATGAACTATTTTCACAGTTTTAAGATTTTAATGAGTGGAGGTGATGCCTAAGGAGGTTTCCAATACCTCCAAAAGTGGTCTTCATCAGCCTTAAAGGCAACAGCACTCAGAACAGCAACGTAAAAGTCCTCTTTGCTGCCATCTATAATGCCCTGGCCACCATTTTATCTGGTTTTCTGGACTGGGCTGATATAAACAGGGCCTGAATTAAATGCCCCCCCCAAAATATCCACTTGAGTGAGAATGAGCCTGAATCCAGCTTCACGAACAGCTTTAGAACTGCATTATTGTATGAATAGCTTTGGCATTCGAATACTGTACTTAAATCTACTCAGCTGTTTCTCCCAGTATTTTACTCCTCTTCACATTTCTATGAATTTCTGTTTTTTATTTTTTAAAAAAATAATTTCTTGTTCTTTCCCTGCACATTTATTTTTCATCTCAATTGCTAGATTTGTCTGAGAGATCACAATAAGAGAGCTAAGCAAGACAACATTGTAGCATGCTACAATCTCTGATGAATATTAAGTAAGGAATTCATAATCACTGTTGCTTCCAATGTGCAGCAGAAAAGGTATAATTAGAAGTTCTCCATTTTCTCCATCTGTACAAGAAGATATTTTTCAACTTATAACTGCCTTGCATTGAACAACATTGTGTTGCTTCAAATAGAATATGTTGGTTCACTGCTATTTTGACTTGTATGACTAACAAAGGGTGTTCAAGCTTATTTTATATAAAACATAGGAGAAAAAAAAGCAAAAAATATACATTCTGTGGATTTTCTTTTTAACAATTTCAAATTCAGGCTTATTACATGCAATAAGGTGGGCTGTTTCCGAACCTCCACCCATTACATTTTTGTTCTTAGAAATATGGCCAAAGCAGCCCCAATGAGAGGCTGCAGGGATAGCGCTTGCTGCTGAGTTTGTGGTCTCAGCTGAGGTTACTTAGGAAGGCTAAACTGTCTCTGATCGCCTCAAGGTTAGAGAGTGGGGGATATTTATACAGGGCTCTTCACACCTCAATGTAAATACATTAGAATGAATTCAGTGCAGTTACAATCAGGACTAATGTACAAAAAAATTAATTGTACATCTCTTATATTTATTTTCTGTTCAGTTAATTATATATGTATATATATATAAAATATACTGCATGACAGCATTTGAATCAGCTAGTGTTATTTTTAGAGAGGGACTTTTTCCAATCTAAATATACTTCAAAACTGCAGAACATTTTCTAAGGGTCAATTTAGAGTTGTAAAAAGTGAAAAGTTCCTACTTTAAAAGAAAGTTCTGAGTATGTATTTTGGTGACTAACCATGGCATTACTGCTCAGACTATAGGGCAGCCAGGCAGCCTATACCAGTTAGAAGCTCCACAGAAACACGTACAATCGAGTGACATACTCTGAGCTGCTTGCCAGAGTCCTTGCGTCCAAACTGAGCAGTGTCTTGGCACCACTTAACCCACCCTGCTGCTTGCTTAGTTGAGTTTGGGACCTCAGTGTAGAGAACAGGAGTAAAAGCTCTACAAAATCCAACCCCAAGTGAAGGGCTCCATATAAATGCAAGTTGTTGTTGTTGTAAAATCCTGTGCCCTACCATTCTACTGTTCCAAAACTGTGAATTTACTCTTTTTGCTTCCTTCACTGGATGCAAACTTTCTCATCTTTTAAAAAAAGAAACCAATCTATTCAAGCATTGGCAACAAACCAACTACTAATCAAACGGACTAGGTTTTGCATTACAGTGTTTGATTTGGCCCGTGTTAGTTTTAGTGAGAGCCTCTTTCAATCTAAATATACTTCAAAGGTGCAGAAAATTTTCCAATGGTTGAAATAACATTAAATTTCCATATTTTCCACTCTTCTGCAAATAGTAAAAAAAATGATTTTTGTACTCATATGGCCCACACAGATAGGATTGCTTATACAAAAACAATTCTGGTTACATCTCCGCACTTGAATTTCAATCGATGCTGCATGCTCTCCTAGACTTTATTTGCTACATGACTGCTGGTTCCTATGGAAACCTGGAGAGTGATTATCTAAGAATCATCTGCGAATGCGTAACAGCACAGAAGTTTCAGCTGTGAGTCTCCAATCACAATAATGTAAAATGACAGTGTTGGATCATCCTTACCACATTACTCTTGTTAAAATAAACCTAGGATTAGATGGAGTTGTGGAGTGGGAAAATGAGGAAGACTTTTGTAAAGCTCACTGAAACCTTAAAAAATGTTACGAATGAAAATATTTAAGGTGCAATCAGGCGGGTTTTAAAACAGTGGCCTGATAACTGTGCCTCCAAACTCACAACATGACAAAACAATGAGGCCCCATTCAGTGCACCTCACAAAAAACTCCAGACCTGATAGGTTGTTAACCAGTCAGTCAGAGGCACACGTGCCTTTCAGGTTGGGAGGACATCTCAAAGGGCTTCACAGGATTTACTGTAAAGTGTAGTGACCGTGTATTTTGTAGGTGAGAACACAGCAACCAATTTGCTCACAGCAATGTCTCACAAACAGCCATGAAGTGAATGATCAGTTTTGTTTAGGGGATAGTTGAGCAGGACGCAGAGAAACTCGCTTCTCAATATTCTCAGCTTCTGTAGAACAGTATAGTTTGATTTACAAGAATAACAAGTAGACTTTTAACATCATCTCCAAAAAGACAATTTATTAAGGAACCTGAAACTCAAATATTTCTACCTCTTTAAACAGTTTGGTGGGTGCTGCAATCGCCTTTTCTTCCTCTAGATACTGTACCCAGGACCATGCCTTCTTGTTTCCAGAAAGTGATGCTGCTAAAAAGAAAAGAAAATATATTGAAATCCAACAATGCACAGAAAATACAGAAAAATGAAGCTCAACCTGGAAAAAAGATACACGCACACAAAAAACAAGAAAATATAGTTATACAAAATAATACTTGCATTTGATATGGCGTCTTATCACGTCTTCGAGACGTTTTAAAGCGCTTCATTGAACACACTGTAAAGTGAATTGACTATATTTTGTGGGGGAAACGCGGCAGCCAATTGTGTGCAGCAGTCTCCTACAAACAGTCGTGAATTCTGCAACCAGTTTCTTTTAATGGATTATTACCCCTGGAAAAGCGATCCGCCAATCACTAACAACCGGGTTCCTACTTACTGCTAGGTAAACAGAGGCGTGTGGAGTAAGGAAACATGCCTAAGGTTTCGCCCTGCAGGCCTAGATGGGTGCAATTTTGTGTGTTTCTCACAAGGATTGATGAGTGAATTGAGCTACCTGCTCTGTCTCTTGCTGACCTGCTGGAACTCTGTTCAGACAGTGATCTTCAGCCTTCACTGACTGCATTCCAATTTTATGGAAATCAGAATCTGAGAGGATTTCTGATAAGTTGGCATGAGACACATCTTTTACAAGCCTTTAAAATTACTCTTCTTTCCACCCCCCAAACATCCAACATTAACGGGAACAAGTGCCACACTGGTGGGGGAATAGACAAACATCTCAGTCCCAAACAGAAGAAATATGAATACTCAAGGCCAGTTATGGTAAAGCAGAGACAGTTAAGAGAGCAAGAGAGATGTACAGATGTACACCGAGACCCTGAGTGATTGAAATAAACAAGGATGCAATTTATTCCTTAATAGGGAATTAGCACCCATACGTCAAGTCAATACAAACCATAGAGAATGCCTGCAAGTTACTGGCAAAATATCAGACATCCATTTGGATGCACTCACTCATTTAAGGTAAACCATATGGCAGGAGCCACTTACTATACCCACAAATGATTTTTAGTTGGAATCACAGAATATTACAGCACGGGAGGCCATCATGCCTGTGCCGGCTCTTTGAAAGAGCTACCAACTAGTTCCACTCCCCCGCTCTTACCCCATAGCCCTGCAATTGTTTCCTTTTTAAGTAGTTATTGTTGGAAATTATGATGTTTCTTAAAATATTTGATTCGTTAATTAATAAACTGAATCTGTTAAAAAGCATGGCAATTTTAACAGCTATATTTGCTTACAGCTTATGCATCTAAGACTCAAGTCTAATATGGTGCTACTCAAACAAAAAGAAAAATCAGGTAGAAAAATTCATACAAGCTTATAACCAAAGTATTTGCATGCTGCATCTAGCTTTTCAACTTATGACCCCCTCAAAAAGAGGTTGTATCCTTTTCGTTTTAATCCCAAATGAACTGTGCTTTAGATAGAATCAATTGAAAAATCATAATGTAATAAATTTCAAGTAAGGGATATTGAATACCCTGTTTCGGGAGCTTGGAATCTGGGTCAGAAAGTCGACTATATTTGAGGTTGCCGTGGTTATTGAGCACACCAGGCGTTTTAATCTTCATTTTCCAATCACTTTGTATTTCCTCCTGCAAAAGAATAAAATGTCAATACTGTACATCCAGTTCAAAAGAGTTACAATCCCTCATTCTAAAATGAAGCAGTTGGAGCTTTTCTGATAATAGTGTGATATCTCTTCATTTTTCTGCATTCTCATGAAGTAATCTCATTTTAAACTGGATAAACAAATTATTTGCAATACTGTAATGTGTTTTTGTTACCATATAATAACCATGATAAGAATAATCCTTGCAGTTCATACAGTGCCTTATTAAATCACTGAAACGTCTTAAAGCACTTCATAGGATTTATTGTGAAGTGTCATTATTGTGTCTTTTGTAGATAAGGCCTGCAGAATAACTTATTCCGTTCCAAATTAAATTGACCCACCATGGCATTTAATAATACTGTTCAACCAATCAGTTTAATAATTAATTTCCTACCAAATGTCAATGATACATTAAATAATAAGTAAATGCACAAAAACATCTCACACAATATTAAGCATGGAGGTTTGCAAAGTGACACAGCTCAAACAAATGGTCCTTCTCAAGCTTATAAATTGTTTATTAATGCTTCATTCATGCTGTTAGTTTGGTGGAGAATCCCAATATTTTTGAAGCCAATACTTCACCAAATCTGCAGTATAAATTGGAGTGAGCCAGTGCAAATGACGATGGAGCTCTAACTCTTGAAAACTGCCTATAGGTTTCAGAAGCAATGCAATTTGCAGCTGCTGCAGCATAAATGTGGCAGTTGTACATCACACTGGGATCACAACTCTGTACTCCATTGAAAGCTCTCATCTGATGCCATTTATGGAACCATCCAGGACCTTTCAGTGCGATGAAGAGCTGACTGTTGGTCTGTGTCACCTTTACTGAAATATTCATTTCCTATCACTGAATATTAAGCCTAACCTAAAATTGGTCACTGCAGTAACTTGCTCCAGTTGTTTACATCATGCTCAATGTTTAATCCTTTACTTACAGATTTTCAAACATGTTACTCTTAATGTAATCATTTTTAAGTTGCAATATTCCCTTAATTGGGTTTGTTGATTTCCCCTGATGTGTCATATGCTGCTTTTTAAATGTTGAATAAATTCAATAAAAATCCATATAAAATCTGACGAATGATATATTGGAACTGTAAAACTGTATGATTCCATTTTATTGATCTCTGTTAGCCTGAACTTTATCAACTCAAAAAATATTTAACTAGTGACATCTGTGCATTCAGCTAATATAGGAAGAAGGATGGCAAATGCAATACAATTGTACATGTTTGTGTCCTATTTAAAATTATGAAATGGATGAAATAATTATGCAAGTACAAGCTGGATGAGCGCAATATGGTTTGTGTTGTACTTTGCAATCTAAAGTGGCACTTCATTTCAGCATTCGGTCATGAAAATTGAATAAATAAGTAGAGCACAAAACTGAAAATGGGTCGGGTAGGGGCGGAGGAGGAAGCAACCAGGCAAGTCTTTCTAATTTTAGCCATGAGGAAGTCCATAACTTCAGTACAGAGTTTTTGAACTGCTTTATATTGATTGTGCAATTGCCCTGAAACCATGGAAAACTTGAGGCAGGACTCATTGCTTTTAACTTGGCACACTATAGCAAAATCAATATTCACACAAATCAACAAACCATATAGCCATTTTCAAAATCTTCCCCAGAGTCTTCTTTTGGGCTCACACTCGTTTTCCTCTTCCTTTTCTTCACACGTTTCAGTATTGGTCCAGCATTTCGCTTTACTGGCGCGCTGTGTTTAATAGGCTGCCTGTCACAGAACATTAAAACACAAGCAGCTAAGACCCTCACTCACACTTCAAACACATCAAGTATAAGTTGAAGTAGTTTGTTACAGTTATGTTCTGTGATATTTTTCATTGAAATGATATCACACTACCCAACTGAAATCCCTGGAAAGTGTGTTTAAAAAAAAGTAAACATACCATAAAAACTGGTGCACACAACAGGCAGCAATGTGATAATTTTTTTCGTAGTGCAAGAAATTCCTTAGGCTTTTGACGTAAACAAAAATGCGGTAGCACCATTAAAACCTTAATTACACCTCCTCAAGCTGCTTATTTATGGCCCAGCTTAACGTTACTCCAGGAATCTGACTTTTTCGTTTGTGTTAGACAAGCATTCTTCTACTGCTGTTACGTTTGGTGCTAATATTCACGAGCTCCACCTCGGCAGGATCTTGAGATTTGGGTTTGGAAAGAACTAACAAAGGGAAGCATGTTCCTTTAAAGTGTAGAACTTTTTTTTTCTCATATCCATAAATATAGATCTCCTTTAGGCCATCTCTTCAGATGAATATGGCACTATAATCTCATCTCTGTTGTGCACAGGCTTTTTCCAATGATGCATTTCCACAAGTAGTTCAACTTTGGATTTGTCCTTACCCTAGCAACAAAACTGTATCAATATATTTACCAGAGGCACAGATGCCTCAGTTATTTTGGGGTTTGATAGATTATAAAATGTAAGTAGATTGTGGGGGTTCAATTTAAATTTGCTAGATTAGACTGGGCACCACAATAGACTCTGATTGTTTGTGTTGGTGGCAGCACTATTTTATGAATTGGCTCATCGGAACAGAAATTCAACAACAAATTGCATTTATATAGTGTGTTTCAGCCTGTCATGCTGGTTCCATCAGAGTCAGTGACAGTACTAAGCTTCATAGTTTGGATAAAAAGAACCAGTACATTGCACACAACCTCTGGGTTTGCAACACTGATATATGTACTGTAATAAAAAACATCTTACCAAGGCATGGCTGGCCTCCTTTTGTGCTGAAAATGTCTTTTTTTTAAAAAAATGGCACAAGTAGACTTATGGAATTAGTACAGGTTAGCAACGGCAACAGAAGAGGCAACAAATAATAAAGATCGCAACACAAACATGGTTCCACTTTTCAAAGCACCTTTCGCGAGACAGTTCTCAAACATGACGACTAAACAGAATGACTGTTCAGTTGCTGAAAATTATTCTTTATATGTTCAATATCCAAGTACAATTTGGAGGCATCTGCCTGAACCATTGCAGCAGCAAAACATTTTTTTGCGTTCAGTTTTCATAGAAAGACAATAAATAATACTCAGTGAAGAATTGCAAGTGGAAGCGTGCAAACCACACAGGCACTGCTTCACATGTGGCTTCAAAAGAGTCCATAGAATCACATAAGAATAATTACAGCACAGAAGGTCATTCAGTCCATTGTGTCTGTGCTGGCTTTCTAAAGAGAATCTTTTGAAGAGTCGCAATAGGTCGAACTTTTCCTGGCATTTACTTAAATGTCCCTATTTCTGTAGATTTCTGGCTTTTGTACCCGTTATGTTTGAGTGTCCAGTCCTGTAAAACTGTACCACTATGTTTCTTATGGCAAATGAAATGTCAGCATCCGTTTCTGATAATGACAACAAATGAGGCCAGAGAATTACTTTGACTGCAATACCAAAACGGCCAACTTGTTATTGCTTCATGTAGAAAGCAGGATTAGCAAAGCAACTATTTTGAGCAAAAGATTTTAAGCTCACAGAAATCCATAGCTTCAAAGGTGTTTGGCATTAATTGGCTTGGAATCAAGCTTCAACAAAGCCCTGGAGCGCGGAATGCCATCCAATGGCATTGTGTTGTATTTAGATCAGGTTGAAGTTTCACAGCCAGACAAATCATAGGATAATGAAAGATATGTGCAAATTGGGCACTGTTAAGGATTAACAACAGTCAATGAAGATGTTAGAACAAGATTCTGAAAGCAAAAGAGCTCAGAGGAGGAAAATACAACATTACAAATTGCATTTACAAAGTACTCTTCACACAAGCTGACATCTCCATGCGTTTTACAGTGGTGGAGTTTGACACTGAGCCAGGGAGAGGGAGAAGGTGACTGTAGCAAGATCGAAGAATTAGGTCTTCAGGCTTGACCTAAAGAAGGGCAAGAAGGGGGTTAAGGCGGAGGGATTGAGGCAGAATTCCATAGTTTCACAGCGCGGTGGTTGAAAGTAATAATAATAATAATAATCCTTGCATTTGATATAGCGCTTTTCACGTCAGGAGGACGTCCCAAAGCGCTTCACAGAACACACTGTAAAGTGAATTGACTGTATATTTGTGGGCGAACGCGGCAGCCAATTGCGCACAGCAATGTCCCACAAACAGTCGTAGATTGAAAATGACCAATTTAATTATTGTTTTTTTTTTTGGAGGGATTATTATTAGGCGTGTGGAGTAAGGAAACTTGCCCAAGGTTTCGCCCTGCCTGGAATTGAACTCAGGTCTCTCACTTGCAAAGCGAGTGCTCTAACCACTGAGCTACAGGACTACAGGAGCTACAGTACGGCTGCCGATGGTGGAATAGAGGGGGTGAAGGATATGCAGGAGGCTAGAACCTTCTAAGCAAAGGAGGTGGTTAGTGGAGTTGGGTGTAAGCAGTTCAGAGAGGTAGGTAGGTGCCAGGACATGAAATGATTTATACATGAGTTTGAATATCTTGAAATTGATCTGTTCTGTAATAGTGAGCCAGTGGAACCTGATAAGGACTGGGTGATGATGGTATGGATTTTGGTGGGTAAGGATACGGGTGGCAGAGTTTTGGGGAAACCAGCAGGGAGCATATTGGAATAATCAAGGTAAGAGATGACGACTGCGTGGATAAGGTTTGGAATGCGTTGGGTGTGAGGTACAGTCGGAGGCGGGCAGTGTGCTGGAGGTGGAGAAAAGCAGTCCTACTTGCGCATAACACACAAGAAAGCGACATCAGTGACATTTCAGGTGCCTGGCAACCCAGAAGACAGTTATATTTTCCTGCAGGAAGCTGGCTCATCAGCATCAGAAGCCAAGTGTACTGTATTCCAGCAAGCACAAGTCCACAATAGAACTAAATGAATCCGCACACAAGCAGGACCACAATATAATCATACAGACAACAACACTTTCAATGTTCAATCTAGCAGATTGATTTCACGAAAGGATTTTTTTTTTGCTTTGAAATTACATTTTATCGTGGTTCTCAATAGCTTTTTGTTTTTACCCCACTTACTTTTCTTTGTACTGCTGCTGACAGCGAGTGCTACAAAAGCGGACACTTTGGTTGAACTCCTCCACTGTTCCATACCGTCCACAGTTTTCACAGCAGCAGATACCTTCCATGTGAGACAAGTCATTTGTGCAATCACCTTCAGTAATGTCTTCAGTGGTGAGGCAGAATGAGGAAACAATGAGCAAATCAATATGGTAATTGCAATACAGTGAACATGCCTCATTAGCTTCGCACTGCCAGCAGTTAGGCGGAATGCTGAAGGACATTTTATTTTTTGAAATATTCTTTCATGCATCTATTTGTAATAGACAACCCTGAGCAACATAATAACTAAAGAAAAGCTCATTCCTGGCAGTTTCTGAAACAGTAATCAATAATATTTTTTCAATAAACTGGAAAAAAATCTATTTATTGTAATGCACAAATGATACTTCAGGCAAAGGAATGGATTTAGAAATGTATCTAATCCTGCAACGCATAATTTCAGGAAAAATCTCAAGAGAATTTCTTTCAAGCACTATGTCACCCCTCCCAGAATTTTTCTCTCATGTATCTCCAAAATGAGGAATTTGCCATTAAACTTTGACCTTTATATAGGTCGACCGAGGCCCTACTGATTGGCTCCCGTCAGCGCCTCTACACCTCAGGCACTGACAGCATCACCCACCACAGATGCACTGAGATACTGTCCAGAACCTTGGCATCTTGTTTGACACTTAACTGTCCTTTCTACCTCACATTCGTGCCATGACCCACTCTGCCTTCACCCACCTCTGCAACATTGCCTGGCTCCACCACTGCCTCTCCCTTCAGCCCGCTGAAACCCTCATTCACAAATTTATTACATTTAAATTCTTGTTGGCCTTTCCAACTGTTCCCTCCACAAGTTGCAGATCATCCAGAACTTTGCAGCTCATGTCCCCACCCACACCAGGCTCCATGAGTCTATCATCCCCACCCTCGCCCAAGGCTCCATTGGCTCCCCATTCCCCAGTTCAGGTCCAAATCCCTGACTGTCCAGCGCCTTGGGACATCCTCCCAACGTGAAAGGAGCTTCACAAATGTAATTTCTTGTTGTCATCTGGATACTAAATAGAAAGGGCAGAAAATTTACAGCACAGAAGATGGCCCATTGTACTGCACTAGTGTGAGTTCCCCAATTCTGTCTGCTCTAAAACCAATCGTATGTCGTTGCCTCATGTTCAACGCCGGAAACTGGGATAATATTAAATAATCCTTGCATTTGGTACAGCACCTTATCATGTCTTCGAGACGTCTCAAAGCACCTCAAAGAATATATTGTGAAGTGTAGTGACTGTGTTTTGTGGGCGAAACGCGCACACCAGTGTCCCACAAACGGTCATGGATTGAGTGACCAAATTATTATTATTATTATCTGTAATATTTAAATTTCCAGCGATGATTAGCAGTCAACTTCACCAAATAAAATAAATCTTCTTTGTCTGGTAGCTTCTACAGATGTTTACTACCGTAATTCCTGATCTATCACATTCATTCTTTGAGTGGGCAAGATGTTATTTTCTGTATGTCAATGTTGCAGGAATCATATCATATGTATTCGAAAGGCTGAAGCAGGGTTTTGCATTGATCAACAAAAAAGCCAGTCACATTTAAATTCTGATGAATAATGATCTTCAGTATGTAACTCTTGCTCCAAAATAAATGTGAACTGTGTTACTATCCTGCATCAACACACCATTTTCTGAGAACTCCATTGCAATATCCCAGATAAAGCAATAAAAGCATCATAGCATTCCAATCACACTTCAAACCAATGAGGTTTAGGGAAGTTCAGTTTGTAATGTTCATTAACACATTGTGATCAAAGTTCCCACTGATTAGCAATTATTTAGTATTTCTATTCTGAAAAGCCACTGGAGCAATAAATATAAAATATACTGGAGCTGAGATCAGCACAATGTACAACAACAACATGCAATTATATAGCTCCCTCTACACAGGGTAGCATCTCAGAGTATTTAACAGTGGTGGAGACTGCCTCTGAGCCGGGGGGGCAGGGGAGGTGACCGTAAGCACAGTCAAAAAGGAAGGTTTTCAGGCGGTACTTGAAAAAGGGGAGAGCGCGGGCAAGGCGGAGGGATTGAGGGAGAGTGTTCTCGAGTTTTGAGGCATAGTGGCTGAATGTGCGACCTCCAATGGTGGAGCAGAGGTGTGAGGGACAAGCAGGAGTCCAGTGTCGGTCTCGCAGAGGCACCGGGTGGTGGATTGGCGAGTGGCAGAGAGGTAGGGAGATGCCCGGGAGTGAAAGCATTTGAACCCGAGTGTGAGGATCTTGAAGTTGGTGATGGGGAGCCAGTGGAGCCTGGCCAGAAGTGGTGAGATGTGGATACGGAGTTTGGTCCGGTTAAGTATGCGGGCAGCAAAGTTCTAAATGAGCTGGTGAGGAGTGTGTCTGAGTAATCCAGGTGGGAGGTTCCTGCACGAGGGTTTCGGCTGCATTTGGGGTAAGGTATGGTAGGAGACGGGCAATGTAGAAGAGGTAGAAGAAGGCGATCCTGGTCAGGGACCGGATGTGGGGAAGTAGACTGAGATTAGAACAATGTAGGCTGAGCTCTGCCCATTTTCTAACCCATGTGCATCTGCCCCGAGCACATTTAAGGTTGTCAATGTGTTGTAATAGGGGAGACAAATCTAATTCCCATTTGAAGCAAATAGCACAAATTGGTTCAAAGGCCATATAGCTGAGTTTCGAAAGAAACATACACCCTAAATATGTATTTGGTCATGTTGGTTTCTGCAGAACCCCATATCATTGATTTGTTCACTGACTGACCAAATAATTATTAGTGTGCTCGGTTCAAATATTACACCTCAGCTTCTCTCACATTTCTCCTGGTGAATGAATCTGTACACCATTCCTGTTCAAGGCAGTATGGTCTGTTAAGCTTAGCGCTTTGGGACGTCCTCCCGACATGAAAGGCGCTCTATAAATGTAATTTTGTTGTTGTTATTATTGTTAAGACTGTTTAGCACTCCATGACGCTGCCCACATAAAGGGCACTATATAAAATATAGTTGTTGGTGGTAGTGTTCCACAAGTATGCTATGATATGCAAAAACTATGGGGTTAAGATTGACCAATCTAAAAGGGATGGGCTTTACTGGGCCTAAAAATTATTTCTTGTTCCTAAAATTCTTTAACACTTTTAGTAATCATCTCTCCCTTTGACGAACATGTACAGTGAAGGCCAGGACGTTTAAGAATCAGTTGATGCTATAACAGGTGGGGAATCTGGAAGGATAAGAAATTGGTTTGAAGAGCCTTCTTCATCAGTGACGAAATGTATCCACGGACCTGAATCCCTCCCACCCCAATTCTATTACAATGGTTGAAAGCAATGCAGTCAAATTAATGAAAGGAAAATATTAGGAAACAATTATAAATTTTGTCCAAGGTTTCCCTTACCTTGAGGGTCTGTAGCAACATTGTGGGAGCTATTCTTTTTAATTGGCGTCTCAGTAACAACTTCTGGAGTGGCTTCTCCATCCTGCTCTTCAGTAGTAATAATCTCCAGGGTCCCAAACTCATTCATTCGGAACTAGTAAGAAAATTATACATTTGTTACTAATTCAAGGTAAGAAAGCATCAATTGAAAGTCCAACAAACAAGTACAGGTGGTGTGGTCCAATTTCCAAGGTTTGCAAAATGATTTGTAAATAGCAGATTCTAAAATAGTAATTATGATTCTTGTATTTAATATTGCCCCTTTCATGATGGGAGGATATCTTAAACCATTTCATTTCACAATTTACTGTAAAGTGTAGCAACTATGTATGTTGTAGGCCAATGCAGCAGCCAATTTGGTCAACTGGATGTCTGACACACGTGGAATCCTTTCACCAAACTTACGAGTATCCAAAGCAACCTGAGAATTCCATACATAGAAATTCCAGAGATATTTTTGGGAATGGAATGTGCACTCTATCCCTGGAGGGACGCATCCTGCTTACTTAATTCCAGAAAGTATTAGACACAGGTTGGCAAGAGCCAAAGCTTGCGACCTCAGAGTGTGCCTCGGGATACTGTTGGGAGTCTAACCAGATAAAATCACATAGTTTGCCATTGAGAGCACTGGATGGCAAGCTTTCCCAATGCTTGACTAGCGAGGTGAATGGAAGCTGAGTGGGAAGATTCTTTGCCCTCAGTGACTGTTCTGCCCTTCTAAATCTTGCTGATGAGCTAGCCTGAAAAGTCCAATATCAAATTTAAAATTGTATGGAAAAACTTAAGAGATTAAAGTATACAATAGGGAAGACAAAGACCATTTGTATCTGCAGATAAATTGTTATGGTAGCCTGAGAAAGAGACTTTTCAAAGGGGCTCTTATAGTTAAATAAGATGATTGTAATGGGAAAGACATAAAACACAAAACAATAGCTGTGGGATTCCCAAATATTTTTAGGATTGTTTCAAAAACACCAGCAGGGACATTGTTTGCTGCATTCGGGTATTAGCAACATAAATTGGTTTCAACCCTGAGGCCAAATTTGTAAATGTTAGACCTGCAGAGGGGTCCCTTTTAAAAAAATAAAACTGAACACATTACAATTATTTGCTTTTGAGTCGATTCCATACATCTACTACTTAGAAGGAAAAATATTTGAATGTCTACTTCTTTCTCAGAATTTTTTTGATCATGCCTTTTCATCCTCATCCCTTTGATACCAAGTTAAATCAAACCAAGTTAAACCAATAGCCAACCTGCTTACATCCATATTGTACACATCTTTCAAGATATTAAAGTCTTTGATCACGTACCTTCACAATCTCCTGCAAGTTGAAATTTGTGAGGTTTTCTTCAAGTTTTAATCCTGCTATTATGCTTGTTATTATTTTCTCAATCCTCTTAATCCACACTTTTTTGGAAGGAATTTGGCAAAAAATACACAGAAAATTGCAAAAGTGGTTTGTTTCCTTACTTTCAGTGACAGGTCAATAATCGCACTAAATAACTGTGACAAATAGGACACCTGTTTACTTACAAAAAACATTAGTTCACAAACAAAGACTTTGAAATCACAGCAGTGTTACTGGTATCAATTTAACTCTCAAGTGAAGCAGACTCCTCACTTTCTATTCAGAACTATTTCTATGTAAAACCAACTCTAATGTCCTATTTATGCACCACTTTTCACATTCATATGAAGCAAATATTGGTACAACAAAACAATAAATCCTGTCCGAGATATACAATCGCAAGATAATTTCCTCTGGAATCCATCTGTCAAAATCTGTTTGTGGATTATTATCAAGCTGTTGCACATAGCAGCATGAGAAATGTCTCTCTTCAAATGCCTGTAAAGCAACTGCAGCAGATGTGATTTACCTTACCATACTCAGACAACCCTACAGAAAATAGGTGAGGTTCTGGCTATTGTTTTTCAGAGCTGTACCATAAGGGTGGACAGTAAAAAATCCTATCCAGTTATTGTGAGGTATTTAGAAAGTTGAGGGGTAATCTGATTGAGGTTTTTAAAATAATAAAGGGATTTGATAGGGTAGATACAGATAGATTATTTTCTCTGGTGGAGGAATCCAGAACAAGGGAGCGTAATCTTAAAATTAGAGCTAGGTCATTTAGGAGTGAAATCAGGAGGAAGTTTTTCACCCAAACTGTAGTGGAAATCTGGAACTCTCTCCCCTAAAAGGCTGTGGATAATAATAATAATCCTTGCATTTGATACAGCGCTTTTCACATCTTCTCGACGTCTCAAAGCGCTTCACAGAATAGACTGTAAAGTGAATTGACCGTATATTTGTGGGCGGAACGCGGCAGCCAATTGCGCACAGCAGTGTCCCACAAACAGTCGTGGATTGAAAATGCCCAATGTATTATTCTTTTGGAGGGGATTATTATTGGGCGTGTGGAGTAAGGAAACTTGCCCAAGGTTTCACTCTGCCTGGAATTGAACCCAGGTGTCTCGCTTGCAAAGCGAGTGCTCTAACCATGGATGCTGTATATGGATGCTGGATCCATTCACATTTTCAAGACTGAGGTGGATAGATATTTGTTATGTCAGGGTATCAAGAGATACAGGGCAAGGATGGGTAATTGGAGTTGAGGTATAGATCAGCCATGATCTTATAGAATGCGGAACAAGCTCGAGGGGCTGAATGGCCTACTCCTGTTTCTATGAAGACTAATTTGCCTAAATCTTCCAGGAATTAACTAAACTCGTGAACAAGAAGCTATGAAAAAGATTATACAATCATCTGGTGGTGGAGATGAATACACTAATAATCCTTGCATTCGATATGGTGCCTTTTGAGTCAGGAAGATGTCTCATTGCTTCACAGAATTTAAGTGTTGTGACATTGTATTTTGTGGATAAGGTCACCGGCCTCCTGCTCATCCCTTGCACTCTCCGCCCACCATCGGAGGTTGCACTTTCAGCCACTACGCCACAAAACTCTGGAACACTCTTCTCAATCCCTCCACCTTGCCCCCTCTCTCCCCTTTTTCAAGTCACGCCTGAAAACCTTCCTCTTCGACCATGCTTACAGCCACCTCCTCTCCTCCACCCCAGCTCGGAATTAGGCACCGCCACTGTTAAGAGCTCTGAGACGCTACCCTACGTGGAGGGTGCTATATAAGTGCAAGTTGTTGTAGCAAGTGCAATAGACATTTAATACAGTATTTTCATTCCATTCCTTCATGTTTCAAGCACCTAATTTCTAGCATTTTTAAAAAAATACAAGGCAACCAAAAAGCAGGGCAGGAAATTACTATCAACTCAAGTGCACTAAGCCCAGAAATATCTTGCAGTAAGCCAAATGAATGATGTATGGTTCTTAACTGAAACATTACAGGATTGTTACAGAATAAAATTCACAACTTTGAATGTTTTGCAAGGTTCACTGGTTCAACAAACAATTGTATCACTGTGTACCTGAAAAACCATACAAGGCATTCCTAGTTCTAATTGTATTCATTTTTCTACTTGAGTATTTATTGAAATAAAAATATTTTGCTACGATTCTATTTTAATGTGGAATGGCTTACTAAATACCAACAAAATTAGACTAAACAAGTGACAAACCTCAACCAGGTTTAGCATGATGGCACAGGATCAATGCTCTATCCACTTAAGGTAATTGAATTATATTCAACCTCCATCTTTCACCTTCTGAGGTATACATGAAATTGCCCATGAAATTGCTGTGGCATTGTTCTGACCCATACAGACAAATAATGTCACAGCCAGATGGCAAAGACATTACAATTGGTAACTATCTGTGGCAGAAGGAGCCTGGTCAGAATTCTCCCTTTTAATCATCATCAACTGCTAGAAGGTCACGTGTGATCATGAGGCAAAGACATGATTGAATAATAAATAATCCTTGCATTTGAAGTAGTGCCTTATCACATCTTCAAGACGTCTCAAAGCACTTCACAGTGAATTGACTGCATATTGACTGTGTATTTTGTGGGCAAAACGCGGCAGCCAATTGCGTACAGCAGTATGATTGGGCTCATCTGCAATGTTTTTCCACTCCATATATTCAAATAGAAAAGCGCTCACGGTGGAGAACGATCCATAAGACCATACGAAAAGTACTTCAGAGTTTTCTGTAAAGTGTAGCAACTGTACATTTGTAGTAGAACGTGATAGCCAGTTTGTACACAGCAATATCCCACAAAGAGCCATGAGGTAAAGGACCAATTATTTGGAGGAAGGCACAGAGAAACTTCCTTCTCTTTTTGAAGGGTAATGGGATATTGACATCTACCAGAAAATTTTTCTCTGTTTTATGTCTTATCTGAAAAATAGCATCTCTATCAATGCAGCGCTCCTCAAATACTACATTGTCGTGTTAGCCAAGACCACAGGCACAAAGTCCTAACTTGGGGCTTGAACCCACAAATCTTCTGACTCCGAGATGCTACCAACTGCAGCATCTGAGTTAGGCTGACATCTATACATCCATCAGCAAAACCAAACAAGATTACACTATAAAGCTTGAGATGGTCATGAACATTTTCTGCAGTCTTTTTCAGATCTTAAAGGTGCTTTCACTCTTCTGTCCTTTCTACCCAAAGTAACAGAACAGTGAAAGCAGTATTTGAATGTAATTGGTGTTACTCCAATTGGTATGAAAGGTTTCAGAATTCATTCTTAATGATGCCACTCATGCTTAATGCTCCTTGAATTCTGCCCAACTCCCAGAGCATTTTAAAATCAGTCTGAAACATCCCGAGCCAATTATCTCTGCTCGTAACTCCGTAGTCCATAATTAAAAGCCAATAAAAGTTAGCATTATTGAAAAAAAACATGAACAGATATGTTTCCACAGGTCTAGTAGTCATTCATCCTTGCCCTGAGAAGTTTCTTCAAATATTCTGTAACTTCTCCTGTTCATTCCTGGTTCAGTTGCTGAGAAGCTGATCACTTTGGTTCTTTTCATCTCTGACTGTAACCCTGATCACCTGTCAAAGAAACTTGTTTCATGGCCAGATTCTGTTCTACCACAAAGAATAGCATCTCATTCCATCCCCCCTTATCTGCTGGATGCTCAGCTCCAACAATCAAATAAGGT